TCTAGATGAACCATCTTATCTTTTCTAAAATGAAAATTGGCATTTTGATGGTGATATTTTGTGGATATTCAACTAGTGTTAATTCATCTGTTGTTTTTATTCTTGCCAGTTGTACTTTAGGATTGCACCCAGTTGTATTGCTAGTGGTGCTAATTTGATGTCACTGTCCAGTTTTAATTTGCAGACAAAACTAATGGTGACCAAAATAATTAAGTCAAAAGTAATGATTCAAACTGTTCCATGGATCCAATTTTCTCATCTGTCCGGGTCTCATTTATGTGGAATATTTTCTGCTAAGGAATAAAAATTGTGTCCCGAATCCAAGTCACCAAAGGTCCATCTAAACTGTAGCGAGAACAAAAACTTGACGTGTCTTGCTCAAACTTTAATGGTCCAAATGTTACTGTTTTCTTTTGTTAATTAGTTTGAACATGTTGTTACATGTTTTGTGGTGAATGTTACCTTAATTTAAATAGATAATTAGGAAATCTTAAATAATATATTGTTACCTTGTTGAATGCAGGCTATTTGTAGTTTTTTTATTTTATTTGGGGATTATAGCAGACAAGTAAATCCAACATAAAGCTACTTTATTCGGGTGATAAATAAGAGAATCAGCCTTTTCTGTATTGACTGTTAAAGTTGTGCATATATCACTTGTGGCTTAAAATCTGTTAACCATGATAAAACGGATGTATTTATTTAATTTAACACCTGACTACTTCAAGTGCATCAGCCTGCAATCAACAAGATAAACAATATATTGCATATGTAGTTCAAACTTTGTTGTTTACTATGTTTGTTTATGTTGTTACTTTACTACTAGCATAAAGATCATTTACTATCCACTATGGGAATATACAAACTATGTTAAATAATAATAGGAGGGCAGTTACTTAAGTAAGGGCCGTTTTTTTTGGATAAATTCGTTCTTTTACGCTGCAAAGAGGCTCATCTCATCGCCACTTTTTGGCATCATTTGTGAACAGAATGACACAATTTGCAGCTCTTTAGCTAACATGTATGCCTCGCGCGTGAGATAAGGTCAGTGATACGTTTGTTACGACAAGAAACACATCCGATGCTGATCGCCAGATGACTGAAGTTTATGACCCTGGTGCAATGATGGCGGGTAAAGTGCTGAAATTTGCTAGGGAGTTTAAAAATGGCTGTGAAAATGTTCATTTCAGAAGTATTGAGAGTACCTAGCGGGTAATCAGACTTCTCACGGAAGACCACAAAAAAAGCATTTCACGGCCATTCATTATAGCGGCTTTACATATGTCATATGTTGGTATCGGATTTGTTTCTTGCAATAAAAAATGTTATCGCACACGTCAAATATCTTATGACCTTATCTCGCACACTGCAAGAGTTTCGATAGATTACACACAGTGAAGCGTACATGTCAGCTACAGAGCTGCAAACTGCATGATTCTGTTCACAAATGATGCCAGTAAGTGGTGAGGAGCCTTGTTGCAGCGTAGAAGCAAACTACGGATTCATAAGCAAAAGAAGCCCTTACAAAAAACCGCCTTTTTATTTATTGTAAGATTTTTGCAAGGAAACTATAGTCGAAGTAGATATGGTTTATCCTCACAAAACTGCACATTTGTCATTTTGTTGTAGATTTAAATGTCCATATTTTACAAAAGGTTGAAGTTGAATGTGAAATTTTATTTTGATATCTCAAATGTAAATACCTTAGAATGGGATAGGATAAACACTGTAGTTCCAAACTTGAGGCAAGTTGGTCAGTTCCGCCTCCTCGAATCTAAGTTGTCTACTCAAAAGTGTTTTATGTTGTCGTAGTGGTAGTTACCCAATATAGTAGTCCTGGATTTTTAAGCGAGATAAAAAATACTTGTTTCATTGTACGGTTGACATTACAGTATTTAAACAACTTTTTTTACAAACTACATATTTAATATTCTTTTGAACTGTAAAATAATTGCAGTTAAAGTTCTTAGTTAAAAATGTAATTGATGAACGGATTTAGATTTTAACAGTTAAGTTTACTATCCGTTATTTAAATGTACTCACAACTTTAGTATCGTATCTACCCAGATAGCTTGAAGGTGATATACCTTAGCTTATACATGCAATATCTTTTATATGATATTTGTTATTCGAGAGAAAGTAACTATATCATATTTTGTTTACCATTTAAATGTTAAAGTTATAAAGTATATTATACATACACTTTCCAATAGCTAATGCTAAATATTTTTACCACACAATTGTATAAGGCAGGGTGAGGTATTAATTATTATGCTGTTTATTTCAATAACTTCTACAGCTTACAAGAACTTGTAAATATGCTAAAACGTGTACTAAATTTGTATACATATAATAAAGCTATAAACAAACATTTGATTGATTTTATTTACATGTTTTTCAGAAAAACGTGGTTTCTAAGTCAAGGAGTCTTTTGATTTTGTTACATTAAATTTTTACAAGTAATGTTAAACTTCTTTTTTAATAAAAAAAAAAAAAACTGAAAGGGTAAAACATTGTTTGGCTCAAAATCTATTTTGTAACTATGGTATCCCAATGAATCAAGAATGTGGGAAATAGAAACTGCATTATCCTGTTATCCTGCAGTAAATGATATTAAATTTCAATTAAATAATTTATCAATTAAATAACTTTGAAAATAAATCATCCACACGTCAATTTACTAAATTTCCCAATTTATCACCTTGGTATTTCAGCATCAATTAATTAACAAACTAAGCTGGAAAACTAAAATACTTTTTCATCACTCTCTATTCGAAAATAGCCCAATTTCCATACAGATGAGATCTTCAAAAATCGTCTATTTCCATACACCAAAAACAAATAGTGATCAGCTGAATTTTCCTGGTGACATAAACAGTTACGTTTTAATTTTTTTAAGTTTGATGAAGTAGTTTTTTTTTCATCCTGATAAAAAATATTGTTAATACTCATCACGAAAGTCTCATTTCGGGGCGAGATCATGTTTTACATGCAAGTCTATAGTAGTGATATATACTATTTATGTAAATATAAACTCTGAAAAAGAATCCAGCTTGTTTTCAATTCTGCTAATGTAAATGAGCAGCTGTTTAGTAAATGATTCAATCATTTTGTCTGTATCGATTGTGTTAGTGTACATTGTACTCTCAATATGTCGGAAGATTGTCAAGAATGCAACCATAAGCTAAAACTTAACCTAATAGCTCAAATGATAAATAATTTTGATCCACGTGATTCAGAGGTGGATCCAGGACTTTGTTGAGGGGGAGACGCACTTAAATTTTTACATATTGTGTGGACAAAATTTTTCCATACGTCATAGGTATATCAGCAAATATTTGTGAACTTTATGAGTGTTCAGAATAAAACACGTTTTTGAAGTAGGGTTCGGTTTACTAGTATTTGTAAAAAACCTGAATTGGTAAAAAACGTTTCAGTTTATTCTATTGGTTGTTATGCAATACTTTCGCCGCGATCATGGAAGATGACAATGATGTTCCTGTGATCGCTGAGGACGTGAAGATTTTCCCGCGATCGCAAAACACAATGTACAACGATGATATCTTTGCAAATTGCAACCGTGGTAGGTGTTCAGGGTATTGTCTGTATCGTAGGAAACGACAACGAGTCTTGGCGTTCACGCGAAATGTTCAAGATATTTATGAAATCGTGGTAGACGATCATAATGTCTTTTGGTGTTCACAGTAGATGGTCTCAAATCCGCCACGATCGCGGGATACCATTATTTCTTCGATATAGCCAGTTTGAATAAAACTTTCCCAACCAATTTAAACTCTTAACACAATAAAACGATCTATTACAAAACCATTACTTAGCCTTTAGTATTTTGAGCAAAGAATAAAGCACAAGTAATATAGTTTTCCCTAAAAAGAAACTCAGAAAAAATATTTAGTCAACACTCTCAAACCTCACCAATACGAATTAATTGACTATAAATATTGGGTTACTTATAAATAAATCAATCATAGAACACACTCAAAACGAGCTTCAAAATTTACAATAGGATGAAAAGATTAGGCCCACATACGTACAATCTAAAGTCAATGCCAGAACCATTGATTATACAACTAAACTGTAATCTTAAGACCGGTTATGGAATAAAGCATAGAATATCAGTTTACGGTCACACCGAATTCAATCTAGTTCATATGGACTGGAGAGGATCTAGTGCAACACATTCTGAAGTAGGCAAATTGTCCTTTATTCAGCTCAATCTCCAATGTGACTGCTTCCTCAATATAAAAGCTACTAAAGTGGAATACACTTGCAGGGTTAAGTAAGTTACGTGGGAAAATACATAAATTTGTCAATTTCTGGCAGTTAAGTAATTATCTGTAAGAGTGTAGCCCAGACCCAACCTTATGACGTCACATAAACAAAAGAACCCTGGGCCATTTCGATCCGCGCAGGTTTGAAGGGTACGCCACAACTATCGGCGCGAACCACGTGATCTTTTAGTTTCTGCGCAGGTTGTTTTGTTCTTGGGATGTCTATACATGTTAGGCCTACCCGATAGTTAAACATTTTTAATGTCCGAGGGGGGCGCCCGCCCCCTGGCTGGATCCACCACTGATGTGATTACTCACAATTGAAATTTGCTGACTACTCTCTAGGGACTAAAAGTACTGCTACTTCCTCCACACATGTATTAAAAACGGCTATTTTTGTTGCAATACGATGAAAAATTTTAATTTAATAATGTATCTTAGAAGTTTTAACACATTTAACTAGATATAGTAGGTAAGCGAGAGAAACATCGACAAATTATCAAAATGATGTCACAAAAATGGTATGGTGGTTTGAGGTATCATATTGGACACAACTACAAGTTAAGTCTTATTATTAATTCAATTGCAATAAAATGATTTTAAAAATTGTGAAGGGTAAATGACGATAAACGTGCATCGTGGTAATAATGTTATTTAATAATACTTAATATCAAATTTTACATATATGTATATATAATACAATGAGTGATACAACTATAGTATGGTATAAATTGCATGATAATAATAAATAATACTAAATTTTTAGCAAAGTATGATTCAGACTATTTCTAAATATTTTGCTAATAAAGAAAATTAGTAATACATTAAAAATAATAAGTTCATTTAAAGTTACAGTAATTACTAAACAGGTTTAATAGTTAAACATGTATTTAAATTCGTACTGCAATGTAACTAGGCTAAATTAAGCCTTTAAGTTATTTATTTTCAATTGCTCACTACATTGTCCACTTCGGCTGTTAAAAACTTTTTTACTTGAGCTATTTTTATAGATTTTTTGGTTTAGTTAGTAGTAAGTTCTTACACTTGAAAAGTCCCCAAAAGTGGCTGTTTGTTTGTATTTAACAGAGTAATATTAAAATTTAAACAAACGTTTGTAGTTTTGACATTTTAAGTTATAAAAAAAATGTTCATTAATTGACTTTTAGAATTGATTTTTACCAACCATTAACACGTTTGCTGTGGGCTACTGTAATTGTAGTACCTGCGCCTTAGTGTGAGCCCAGCACTTGGTGGAGAACGATGTTATTGTCGCCCCGTGTAGTGTCGCTTTCATATGAAATTTTGGTCCAATTCATTTTCGCATCAAACACGAACAGTCTTGAGTGGGGGTTTCGGCTTAGATTTAGTATCATGAAAGAAGATATCGATAATGACACATAATGTAGTGTGCAGTGTAAAGTAGCAATGTGGAAAGAACCTAACCTTAAAATTATACTCTACACCTTTGCGGTATTTTTTAAGGTACTTTGCCCCTGCTTCTTTCTGTACATACACACATAGTATCCTGGCAATACTAAGGGCTTATTAGCACTTTGTTTAGTGCTATCTGTTGTTTTTTGTACAACTACGTCCACCAACTGGAACGCAGAACATGCTATAACATATTTTAAGGGGCATACCTCTCATATTGGGTGAAACTAAATTCAAACATTTCGCACACTCATCCATGCAGCGCATTAGCTATTCCCGCAACACTGGCCGTCACACAAGTCCAGCAAACGTGTTAAAAGCTTAATTTTTACAGATTTACAATGACAAAACACTTGTTTTGTTGAGATCAAATTATATATAAGAACGTTTCAACTGTTTAATTTGAAGTCATACTTCTGACAATGAGTAGTAATATTGGTATCAAGAAGCTTGGAAAACATCTATCATGTGTAATATGTAAGCTATAATAATGCTGGCATGTCAGATAAGATAGGTGTCTTCGTACAAAACATTAAAGTCAATGTTAATAAAATAAAATATTGTGATTTATAACCTAAACAAGGGACAGAACAAAACACTCGCTGTAATCATCTATGTTTGTGCTCATAAATATTGAATAAAGAAGTAAACAACAAAATACTAAGGCACTTGTACGTTTAAATTAATGATTAAAATAAGACAACAGACAAAAAAGTATACAAATACCTATTACAATTATCATGTGGTTTTACAAGGAATTTTTGCTAAAAATAATTACTATACTGTACATAGGATAGTTACATATAATTATTTATAAAAAGATAACATACATGTTTTATAACAAATAATATAGTTCCTCATTCAATAACACAAGTTTCAGCTGAAAGATAATTTTACAAATATCAGTATGATTTTATCAACAAATATTTTTATGGTAAAACGTAACATACATAGTAGACATTTCACTAACTGTTTAAAAGCCCTTTTTACTTGATTACTAAGGATATAAAATGTCCACATAAATTTCCCTGCAATAGTGCTTACGTACACGTACAATTACACGTTGTATTTAATACAAAAATAACAAAATCGTAATCTTTATACAAGTTAAATGCAGACAATAGTTACACTAAATACAAAACATTAGGCCTAATTTACTAATTTAGTAGCAGATAATTACATTTACAAGCATCAAATGAAGCATGAATAGAAGCATAAAATGCCACCTAGCGACTTTTAACGAGAAAGAGTAGTCAAATAGCTCAAACTACAATAAAACCTAACCTGATATTGACTTGACTAACCTGACCTCCAAGCTTACTGCTTCCACCAGTTGCACAAACTAAGTATCTGCTGTCCAGTATTAAATTAACACTATATAAATTAAAATAAAATAAAAAATACCTTGCCAGCACAACTGATCAAAGTATTGTCAAAAATGTTATTGAAAAGAGTAAATAGTTTTCACCCAGAAAGTTTTTTTTATTACTAAACAATACTGTGAATTCATGGGTTATAAAGTATTTTACAGAACTATTTCAACCATAGCTTCATTTTTTACTGTAACATTTATATAGGCCTACTAACTGGATAATGTACAAAATCAATTGAGTTATTTATCCCCCCCCCCGGCACACAACAAAAAATCAGTCTGAATATTTCAGCAATTGGAATCCATCATCGTTAAAAAAAAAACTACTTGTCACATAATTCTTGGCAAATTTATGAGACGTATAAATTAAAAACTCAGGGTGAAAAGTACTACCTAACTACTTAAGCATGGTATATCAGGTTCATATGAAGAAGTTGGCGATATTTAAAAGACAAGATGGTTACGTTGGAAAATATAAGTTTTTTGAATAATATACTACTGTTATAGGATACTCTAAGTACGGTAATGACTTTTCAGAACTGTATTGGGCTGTATACCCATAGGCAACAACATCCCCACACAGAAATATGTATGCAATTAATTACCCATAGGAGGCAAATAATTATTAATGGACTAAACAATAATTGTTTAGCAACCAATGTGGTACTTTAGTTCTGAATATTGCTTTAGACCTGATTCTATATCTATCACAGACAATGTTTTCTACTATTGAATTGGATATTTGTGCGACTATTTTAAAACTACCCTAGTATTAAAAACAACTTATTTTAAAGCGGATCGATAAAACTTTGACGAATAGTTTTGAACATTAAAACACTGGATTTGTTAATTATCCAGTGTACTAACCAATTAACTAGGTGATTAACTAATGAAAGCTGAAAGCAAGTAAAAGGTACAATGTTGTTAAATTGTCGATTCAATGTTGAATTCATTAGAATTATTATGATCTTTTTCATGACTCATTAATTCAACTGAAAACAATTTTTTTGTACTTTGTACTATGTTGAACATTAAACAATCTTTTAGATTTTTGACACTTAAGTATTAAGTATAGTATTATTAAACTTAAAGTGAGAAAAATATATTTATTTGTTTGGGTCTCAATCTATATAAGGAAGGACACAATTTTAATTTGATAAGTGTTGAAAGCAAACTTCTTTTTGCAAAATGGAGTATTTAAACTATACTTTTACCCAGCCTACATACTTACAATTCAAATAAGACCTTTTAAAAATATAATTTTTACTGACTGAACCATAGAACCAATTGAATGAAAAATAACAACATTGCACTAAATTGAACCTAAAAAATCTGCAACTTTTCCAGTTTTTCAGGACACAAATATTTTCTTTTAAAAGAGAATTTAAGAATTGATAAAAATACAGTTTACACTATTTCTTATGTTTACATAACACGCTGCATACAACAAATAACAAATAGTGTTTACCTTAGTTATTTCACTCTTACAAGTACACAAGAAGACTGTATAGGGGTAACTGCAACTTGCCAATTGTCTAAGGCGTTTGTATAGGAAGCTTCATGGTCAAGCAGAACGTTTGAGCAAGCGAGGAAACACTCTCCACTGAGGCTGTCACAGGTCAGTGCTTTCACGAGCCTGACAAGTAACAGAAGATATTAATTAACAACTCTTTATTGTCACTTAACGTTCACAGTTCACAATGATAGCGATCAGGAATGAGTGGGTTATTGGTTTTACTGGTTTTCAGCAAAAAAACAACTGAACCAAGAATTTATAGAAAATGTCGGTTTCGGTTTATCGATGGTTGTTGTGCAAAAATATTGCCCCAAACACATGACTCGATAGCAACGTCTTTGCAATGGCAGGGAATGTAAAAGACTTTGCTGCGATCCCAGGCAATAATGACAATGTCTTTGCAATAAACTCATTCTGGCCTTGTTCTCAAGGGACAATGTTAAAGTTTCCGTGATCACAGAAGATGTTTAATGTTAACAGGACTGCGGTACATATTTTTGGATTTTTATGTGATTCCGGGATACCAATCATGATGTCTTTACGACCACAACAGATGGTCTAAATTTTGCCACTATCGCACGATACGATTGCGAAGGTAGACATCAATATTGTATCCTGTGGTAGCGGCAAAAATCTTAAGCATCCTCTGCAATCAAGAAGACATAATTGTCTCCTGTGATTGCAAAATTGTGAAAACATCAGGCAGTCCTAATTTATTTAATTCTTTATTAACTCATAACATCTTACAATGCACTAAGTGCAAAGACTGGAGTGTTGTCACAATAATAAGTTGATCTAAATTTTAACTTATGATCACCGTTGTCTCTAGTGATCAATAGCAAAATCTTCAACTTCTACCACGATTGCAGACATTGGAAATTTAATTTCAAAAGCGCAGTTTCCACTGATGCTTTCTAATAAAAGCTAGGCTCTGCTCGATTTTCTGACTTTGTGCTCTGAATTTTTCACGAGCTTGAGGCGGCAAATTAGTACTGATAATCGTTTTAGGAAATCGTATTGCAGCATTATTGAATGTTAGTACTTTGAAAAATCTGTGATAAACTGAGCTTCTGATAGGGTTAAACAAATAATTTTAAAAATATATATTTTGCTGTTGTATCTGTCGTTCCTGATTTTATATCCATGGGCTCTTTGGTAGTATTGAAGTTAAAATAAAGCATATTGAGGCTGTAGTTTACCTTAGGTGTGGGAGGAGGTGGGGGCATGGGTCGGGGTGGTCTTGAAGGGTTCACTGGGGATTTAAGAGGTCCTGTACCTGGAAACAGAATCAACATTATACTTTCACCTACAATAGATAGAATGTTGTCCAAGCTATAAAATAAATGTAAGGTATTTCTACAGGAGTTGGCCCAGGTTTATCTCAAACATTTGATGAGGGTGGTTTTATGAACTCAAGGAGAGAGGGTCATCAGAGGGGCGAAGAGAAGAGAGAGAACCTTCTGCGCCTAACCTAACCTAACAGAGAAATTGGCACATATCTTCTTAGCAAATGCACTGTACACATTTGTTCACATCACCTATTTAAAGCTTTGGCGAGGGACTCTGTTAAGTCCGAGGGTGCTACAAAACCCATTACCACCACTTCTGCAAATAGCTTTTTCCATAAACCTAACACCGTCAGCCTGGCATCTTCCTTCAAAAACTTGTATTACTGCTCCTGGCCTAGAGCCTTTAAGAAACTGTTTCACCTCCTTCAAAGATCCTTAGATAAACAGCTGTGACGATTGATAATTCAGTTTCAACTTGCCAAGACTCACCGTTGTCCACAATGTTGCCCTCGGATGCAGTACGTTTGTGTCCAGGATTGTGGGTGACAGCCAATGCCTCAGGTTTCGGGGGTCTCTCTGGCTTCTCCCCACTGTCCTTCCTCTCTGGAAAACAACATTAGTATTGTTAATACAAAAAAGTTACATTGTCCGACTAAAAAATCACGATTGTGGGTAATTTAGTTATTGAATACATAGTTGTATAACCTTTAACATAAAATAAACTCTCAATGAGTGGCACACGCTTTCTTGAAACTTACCCAGCTGTCCTATCTTTAGGCTTTTATGGCTCCGGCTAAAGAATCAGCTGAACTTAGTCAGTAACAAAGCTATCTCATCCTCCATTTATATTTGCCTTAAAATACTATTATGTGTTGGTGTATTGTAAATTTAATCTAATATAATACAATTCCCTATTAGGCCCTACCAATAATATTTGCCTAAATCTGGGAAAAGGCAAACATTTCTGTCTTCTCTATCTCTGTAATCTTAGAAATATTGGGAAATATTCCAAGACAAAGGATTTCATAGACAGACCAAGGGTTAATTAACTTTTTAAGGAGTACATATCTGAAGGGTACAGAATTTTATGGACCTGACTTTGTCTACTTTAATGTCAAGATTAAATACAGCTGAATTGTATGTATACAGGGTGTCCCGTAAGTAAACAGCCAAACTCCGGGAAATGGTTCTATGGGTCAAAATAAAGAGAAAATCAAGAATAACATTTTTTCCAAAATCGCTTTGTTAACCAGATATCCGCCATTTTGTATTTTTTACATAAACATTTTTATTTTTGGATTTTTTTCAACCGATCTTTATAAAACTTGGTTAAAGTAGAAGGGACCCATGTTAGAAAAAAAATTCATCTTGATCGAACATAAAATTTCAAAATGGCGGCCATTTTAATTTTTTAAACTTTTTAACTCAAAACGGCTAATTTTAAGAAAAAATGCCAAGAACACTTTTATTTAGCATTTTAATTCCCTATCAAACGATACCAAGTTCAAAAAGATCAAATAAGAAATAGCTGAAATATTACGATTTTTAGTTATAAAATGGGGTAGAATAAGGCAGAAGCAAGTCAGTCTTGCCCCTTTTTCAACAAAAAACCGTAACATTTCATCCATTTCTTATTCAATCTTTTGGAACTTGATATTGTTTGAAAGGGAATTGGAAATGTTAAATAAAAGTGTACTTGGAATTTTGTTATAAAGTTTGCCGTTTTTGAGTTATTTAAGTTTAAAAAATTAAAATGGCCGCCATTTTGAAATTTTATGTTGGATCAAGATGAATTTTTTTTCTAACATGGGTCCTTTCCAACTTAACCTACATATCTAGTTTTATAAAGATCGGTTGAAAAAATCCAAAAATAAAATGTTTATGTAAAAAATACAAAATGGCAGATATCTGGTTAACGAAGTGATTTTGGAAAAAATGTTATTCTTGATTTTCTCTTCATTTTGACCCGTAGAACCATTTTCCGGAGTTTGGCTGTTTACTTAGGGACACCATGTATATTCAATGAAAAATGAATCAAAATTTAAAGAGTTTTATTTAATACTAAACCTAATTGTACTGTCGATACAATTTATATTGTCAAGACAATAAAGTATGTATTTATTTATTATTAAACACATAAACAATTGTTAGCAACTAAGGTACATAGATAGAATAGCTTTTCAGTTAGGCGTATTTAGACGACAGTCTAACCAGTTTAGAAGACGTGTTGGACACCTCATGGTACATTGTTTAACAAAAAAAATGGAAAAAGAGCTGATGAGATCTACTGCACACACTATTAATGCTCATATTTACCATTGTTTTTTTTATTTAATTGAATCATTGTAGTTATATGTGTTTATGTGTGCTTACAAAAATAGATTTACTGTAAAAACAACAAAAGAAAAAACACTATCCTGGAACATCTTTTGAATAAAAAATTATACTTATGCATACTGCAAAGGGACACACACAAAAACAGGTCACAACTCATTTCAACACATACAAAAATTAATGATTGTATTTATTATTTTGTACCACCAATATTATTTTATGTAAACATAAACACTCCAAAAACCCTAACTGGCTACACACTCATAAAAAAAAACACAAAAGATAAATAATGGCACATTATTCCAATGAGAATTTACATTTAATAAAACATATGAACACTTTGATTTGAATAAAAAACACACTATTTCAAAATGGAGAAAATTGTATAGAGACGTCTCATGTGTTTTCTTTTATTAGGTAAAACCAAAACGTCCATTCATGGCCCAAAATCAAACATTTGTTTACTTACTTTTAAACCTCACCAAAGACATAACAAAAGTAGGAAACCAATCTGTAATTGTAAAATGATAAATAAGGATGTTTTCAAAAGGTTGCAAACAAATCTGATCAAAAGATATCTTTTTAAACTTTGTCAAATTAATCATTACAACCACGACTATTACTATTTATTTCTTCAGGACAAAATAAGTGGTAAAAACTTAACATCTAGTCTAGTATGTTATAAAGATGATGGTGGTTTCAGTAGTTCAGTCTCTATCTATGGATTTCTTTCAGGTGAATACAAAAACTATTGACTGATTTGAAACTGTATACTGAGGTAGATCATTGAATCAGAAACTTATAGGATTAATCATGTCCTTAAAATCCACTCAGTGGTTGTCAAATATTTAGTTTGTAAAAAAATTAAAATTATTGAATTAAAATAAAATTGCTTGAACCTTGACAGAAAAGAGCGTTTAAAGTTAGTCTTTACGGTTTAATGGTAGAATATCTTTATGACAGTACTTCACTGCTCACTTGAGATCCATACAATGATTTCTAAAATAGTCGTTTCTATTGGAACATTGACAATTTTGCCTCTGAACTGTTTAAATGTACATTGTTTCAATATCATATGTTTTACTTTTTATATTAAGCTGTGTTCATGTTTATGTTTGTGTGATCAAAATAAAAGTGTGAATTCCTTTCTTTAACCCTTTGAGTGCCAACGTCCGGGGAACCGGACGTTTTTAAAACGAGCCAAAAGTGCCGACGTCCGGCCGACCGGACGTTTTTAGAACGAGCCAAAAGTGCCAACGTCCGGCTGACCGGACGTTTCGTAATGATCGAACAGTTGTCATAACAACCGAATGGATACTCGGATTCTTTTAACCCATATATTAACATTGAGTCGAAAGTTACTAGATGCGATACATCGATTTTCGTTGGTCGAAATATCGAAAATTCAATTTTTACGAAATTTTAACCTAAAAATCGCCAGATCGCGCTCGGCATTTTTAGCGCGACCTTCGGGAAAAATCATCGGCATTTTTTGAGCGTTACTTTTATTTCTCACCTGGCACTCTAAGGGTTAATATAATTTGTTTCTTATTAATTTAAAAGTTTATTCTTATAAGTAATCAAGAGAAAGAATGCCTTGGACAAATACGTATCAGTAGGTTATGGGCTATTCTACAAACAAGGTATTTTTTTTTAAATTACTTTTAAAGAAGCTATATAATATTTTTCTTCATTGTTTTGCCATTGTAACTGTTGACTTTTGTCTTGGAACAAGTACAAAATTGGTTAGACATTATGGCAAATGCTAATGAAAAGATATGTATAGAGAAACTTTTGGGTGCAAGTAATTGGACTAAATGGAAGATGCTTATCCAGTTGTTGTTAAGACAACAAGGCTTGTTAAATTTCATAATGGGATCTGAAGTAAGACCTATTAATAACATCTCTGGATCTGAGCAAAATGCTATTGCAGATTGGGACAGAAAAGATGCTTCTGCTATGTTATACCTTATGTCATCTCTAGGCGATGAACCATCTACACTGGTTTTGACTTGCTCGACTTCTAAAGAAGTTTGGGATTGTTTAATATCTGTGTATGAACAGTCTAGTGAACAAAGGCTAGATCGTTTGCTAGAAGAGTTTTTTAGGTGGGATCGAGATCCTAATGAGGACATAGCTACCCATGTTGCAAAGCTTCAAAAACATTTTGCCGAATTAAATGATGCACTTGAGAAACAAAAGGAATCAAAGCTTAGTGATAGAGTTTTAATTGCAAGAATTTTATCTACTTTGGGGCCAAGCTTTCGTGAATTCAGAAATGTATGGGAAGCTATGCCATCTAAGGATAGAACAATTAAAACACTAGTTGAAAAGCTTCGCACTATAGAGCAGCGTGATAACGTGGAGTTACTTAAAACTGCTTTATATGTTTCAAAACCCATGGGTACAAGGGTTAAAACAGAAAAACAAGGGCAGAGTAATCAGAATCAAAAGCAGGTAACTAAGATATTTTGTTTTAAGTGTAAACAAAAAGGTCATAAGGTTCCTGATTGTCCACTTAAAAAGAAGTCTATGGTGTCTACATCTGATAACAAGAAGGATGTGTCTGCAAAACATAGTTTTATGAGCGGGAATGAGTTAACTTTTGCAAGTCGGGACGTTTGGATTGCGGATTGTGGTGCTACTCATCATGTAACGTGGTGTAAAGATTATTTTACAGAGTATTCACAATTTGCAGAACCGCAACTTATGTCTGGCTTCAGTGATAATGCTTCTGATAAAAAGTGTTATGCCGAGGGATCTGGGATCATTGTTGTTGAAACTAAACTTGGTAAGGAGCTAATTCAAACGACTGTAGAAAACGTTTTGTATGTACCTAATTCTAGAGCTCATCTGTTGTCAGTCAGCAAGGCAGCGAAGAAGAACCATGTGTTTTCTGCTGACAATCTTGGATGTAAATTTACCCTAAATGGTATTGTTACATTGACTGGACGTTTGCATGGGGATTTATATTTTCTTAACATGCGTGCTATTTGTCCTATACAACCCACTGTACAACTTGCATGTAAGAAAGATTCTTTACAGCTATGGCACGAATGGCTAGGTCATCAGAATCAACGCCATGTTAAACAAGTTTTGAAGATGAATGGAATTAATGTGACTGGAGACATGGGTCTGTGTAATGGATGTGTTCTTCGTAAATCTCATCGTGGTCCATTTCATTCTCGTCCAACTTGTCCTGAGGTGGTTGGTGAACTGATCAGTACAGATGTCTGCGGACCTATGGAGGTCACTTCTCTTGGAGGTAACCGCTATTTTGTATTGTTTAAAGACTACTACAGTAAGTATCGCCAAGTATTTTTCATAAAGAATAAAAGTGAAGTAGCTGATTGTATGCGCATCTTTCTTGCAGAAGCAAAACAAGGTGGAAAGATCATAAAAGAAATGTTGTTTGATAATGGGTCTGAATTCCTATCAAAGGAAACTACGAGAATCATTCAGGAGTATGGTATTAAGATACGTACAACTTCTCCCTACTGCCCTGAACAGAATGGTTCTGTTGAGAGGGATAATCGAACGATTGTGGAGTCTTCTCGTTCTATGCTTCAGAGGAAAGTCTTACCGAAGTTTCTTTGGGCTGAGGCTTGTAATACTGCAGTTTACCTCCTTAATCTTACAGGACCAAGTCCTGTAGAAGGCAAATCACCACTGCAATTGTGGTCGGGTAAGAGTGTTCCAGGTCTGCAACACCTCAGAGTATTTGGAACTAACTGCTTTGTACATCAGCCAAAGCAAAAGCGGAAAAAGTGGGATGCTAAAAGCATTGACGGAATCTTTGTTGGGTATCATGGTTTGAGAGATGAATACAGAGTGTATGTACCAAGCAAACGGCAAACTGTTATTAGCCATGATGTTATATTTCAATCTGAGATATCCCAAGGAAGTACTGTTCCTGATAATGAGCCTCTTCGAGCGATGAAGTTCATTTTGACATCACTTCAAAAACAACAGAAGTGGAAACTGACAAAGCGGCACCTCCTATTGTTTTGGAGGGAGGTGAGCAGTGTGATGTATTGTCTCAAAATGAAACGACGGAAGTGGAAACTGATGAAGTGGCAACTCCTATTGTTTTGGAGGGAGGTGAGCTAGACGAGTGTGTTGTATTGTCTAAAAATGAAACCACAAAAGATGTGTTGCGACAAGGAAAACGAGTGAAAAATGTACCAAGTTGGATGAGCAGTGGAAATTTTGATCTGATGCTGGTTCAATCAGAAACACAGATGTTTCCAAGGTCTTACAAGGAAGCAATGGTGTTGGACGATGCATCTGACTGGAAGGCTGCTATGGACGATGAAATAAAATCTATTCATGAAAATAAAACTTGGATTTTGGTGGATAAACCAGATGGAGCTCATGTCCTGGGATGTCGTTGGGTACTTCGAACCAAGCCTAATTCTGATGGTTCTCATAAAAAATACAAAGCTCGACTAGTAGCCAAGGGATATGCACAACGTGAAGGAATTGACTATAATGAACTGTTTAGTCCTGTGGCACGTTATGACACCATTAGATCTGTGCTAAGTACGGCTTCCGTTGAAAATCTGGAATTGCGTCAGTTTGACGTGAAGACTGCCTTTTTATATGGTGATCTTTCAGAGGAAGTTTACATGGAGCAACCTGAAGGTTATTCTGATGGAACTGGACGTGTGTGTAAACTACAAAAGTCATTATATGGTCTGAAACAATCTCCTCGTTATTGGAGCTTGAAACTTACAAAGTTTCTTGAATCTCAAGGTCTTAAGAGAAGTAACTCAGATCCCTGTCTCTTTTATAAAAACAATCACGGGAAGAAGCAACTTGTACTTATTTATGTAGATGATGGATTAGTAGCTGGGACTGACAATAGCATCATTGATGACTTCATGAAAAGCTTATCCAAAGTTTTTAAAATCAAATCTGGTGAACTTGACAGTTATTTAGGATTACAGATCAAGAAAAGTTCAAGTGGAATATGGATTGGTCAATCAGCCTATACTAAACGCATATTACAACGTTTTGGTATGAGTGACTCGAATTCCATTTCTACACCATGTGAAAGATCTGTAAACAACGGTCCAGTGGAGTCTGTCAGTGGAAAAGTTCCATACCGTGAGGCTGTTGGAAGCTTGATGCATTTAAGTTGTGTATCAAGACCTGATATTTCCTTTGCTGTGGGATTGGCTGCGAGGAATATGGAACATCCTACTCAAGCTGATTGGTTGAGTGTCAAAAGGATATTTAGATATCTTCGAGGAACCATAAATGTTGGTATCTTGTACAAGTCCTCGCCGTGCAGTAATCTGGATGTTTTCACTGATTCTGATTTTGCTGGAGAGGAAAGTACTCGGAAATCAACGTCTGGGTTTATCAGTTGTTATGCTGGAGGTCCAGTGAGCTGGCGAAGCGAGAAACAGCGTTCTGTAGCACTGTCTACGACAGAAGCCGAGTTTGTGGCTGCATGTGAAGGAGCTAAGGAAGCAATATGGCTCAAACGTCTGTTTGAAGAAATAAGTTGTCACTCACAATTGACACCTGTTCTAAAAATTGACAATGGCAGTGCTGTGAAACTCATAAAGAACCCTGAGTTTCATCGCAGAACGAAGCGTATCGAAGTTAAGTATTACTTCGTAAGAGAAAAATTCTTGGAAGGACTTGTTGATGTTGAACATGTATCTACAACATATCAACTAGCCGACATCCTTACTAAACCTCTCAATCGAGTAAGGTTTACACAGCTTAAAGTAAACATTGGACTTTGTGACATTTAGCTTCAAAATTGAGAAGGGAGTATTGGAACATTGACAATTTTGCCTCTGAACTGTTTAAATGTACATTGTTTCAATATCATATGTTTTACTTTTTATATTAAGCTGTGTTCATGTTTATGTTTGTGTGATCAAAATAAAAGTGTGAATTCCTTTCTTTAATATAATTTGTTTCTCATTAATTTAAAAGTTTATTCTTATAAGTAATCAAGAGAAAGAATGCCTTGGACAAGTACGTATCAATAGTTTCTAAGGAAAATATCACAAATTAAGACACAATTGGGGAAAAATATGACAATGTTTGTACAATCATGGAAACCACCTTATTACAATATTATTGCGACTGGGGTAGTAGAAAATAATCACGACAATCCCAGGAGATGATCAAAGTATCCCAAGGACCCCACAACAATTTACAAATCCTGTCATCACTATATTCCTCATTTTACTACCTTCTCATTTTGTACCAACACTTTACCCAGAGCAATTTGCTATTGTAGACCCTTGTGCATTTGAAAAATATGGTAAAACTGGATCAAACTCGAATGTAACTAACCTTGAATCCTGGATTCCTTGTCTCCTGTTACTTGGATGATGGAAACTTGTTGCTTATCCACTGAGTATACATGAGCTCTCTCCAATGAGACAGGGCCCTGCTGTGTGAACACAATGATCAAAAGTCTACTTCTCAACAAAGTTAGTGATATGGTTTTAATGCATGCCAGTGTCAAAAGTCTACAACTATAAAAGATGCAACTATGTTAAAATGACTTTCTCACAATAATTTGTAAAATATTAAAAGTTTTTATACACAACAGGACAGGTTATTGGTGGGGATTCGGATGGACCACACACACTTTAAGGAAACTGACACAAATATTAAAATCACATTGAAAACATCTCTAAAAAAGACAAGCTATAAAAATAATGCCACAATGGAAAGGTCAAGTCAAGGGCTGTAAGGTAAATAGGTTCCAATGAAGAGAATGTAAATTAATACTGGGGACAATGTGTTGTTGACATCAAGAACTCACACAGGTATGGCACAGTAAGTTTAAAAATATTAAAAAGTGTGTATCAAATTTTGCCAAAACAAAAAAAAATTCAAAACAAAAAGGACAAAGCAAACAATATAAAAAAAAATATACTTATTATTATACCAAGAATGTATAAATAATTTTAGTTAACAGATTGGACTAATTCTGTACCTGTACCAAATTTTGAATGCAATTTGTTGCATTCCACACTTACATCCCCACATTTGTCCGAGTCCATCTCCAAGTTCCTGCTGTGTCTGAACGAGCTACTGAGCGGTCTCTGCAGAGTTGTGGGTCGCTCTGGAATTGCTGGCTTCTCTCCTGCAGCAACAAATCAATAGTTCAATGGAAAAGTATGGGGTAATGACAGAATGTTTACTACCATTTTAACATAAACCATTTTTTTTTTGCTGTTGTTTTCCTGATTATGTTGTTTAAAGGACTTTCACACACGTAACATATCTTACACCTCTTGTCACAATTAACTGTCCATTTGAGGTGAATAAAAGATGGATGGATAATAGCTCCTGATAGTTTGTTCCAGAATCTACATTTTTACAGATTTAGCAAAGCAATGGAAAGCTTTAACTACCAGTTAACAGTCTACTGCTACTAGCCGACTAATGAAAATTCTACTTTTCTGTAGAGCGTGATGGCCAAGATAAAATCATAAAAAATTAATCAGAAATGGCCCCTAAATGTACCTAGGGTTTTTTTTTTTTTTTTTTTTTTTTTTATTTCTTTCTAAACTATGACATTTAACGAGCCAAGGTGTTCAACAGACTTGTTTGTATCTTGACATAATGTGCCTCCAGTCTAGATTATATGGAGAACAACCTCCATCAAGCAGGCAACCTCCTTCAAGGGTAGAGTACGAAGCTTCAGTATCAGGTTCAAATCCCGCCAACCACAAAAGTGATACTTCTGCAATCCTCTAGATCCTAGCTTCAAGTAACATGTAAAAATTGTTTGGAGCTAGAACCTAGTGTCCTGGGAGGTGAAGGTAGGACATACACGAGTAGATGATTGCTACATGGTTGGCAACAGTTTGACTTTTATACTGACCGTGCTCCACCAGGGAAGTGCGAGGCGCTGGCGTAGGTCTGGGCGGTCGTTTACGCTCCAAGGTTCCATACACTAGCTCAGCAGACCCACGGAACTCTGGCTTCTCAGGTTTGGGCGGTGGTTTGACTGGTTCTGGCGGTCGTAGCGGTGTACTCTCTGCTGAACTTCTGGCAAATCAAATATCAAGTTCTGATCACTTTGATTAGGCTTTCATATTTCATGCCACTCTATTATTTGCCAAATATTTGAAGTGTTGTTGAAAGTCTTTGCACATATTTATAACACTGTTAATAACAACATCCTGGCTACCTATGGAACTTTTCAACTCAAACTATCCTTGCTTTAAAATTATCTCAGTGACAGCAAAATGTTCTAATTTTCCAGTACCTAATTTGTAAAGTTTTTGCGTATGGTAGACAGTATTTGTGTTGTTTATCCAAGCATGAACTCTCTCCCATTCAGTTTGCTATTCCCAATAAAATCTTTGAAACCTAGTCTCCTGTGAGTCCTGTGACCTATGTAACGTTATTAGTAGAAGGTTAAGAAATTACATAACTACTACAATGTAAACATGACTAATTATTCAAAGTGGAAACATAAAAAATATTAAGACAATTACATTGTAAGAACTGACTATTAATTATAACTCAAATATTCTTACTAATAACTATATGTTACGTGCACATTTATTTATATCTCTACCAAAACAAATTTTTACCTTTGGGTTAAATTTTCTTCTTTTGTTCCTATCACAGATTTTAATTCACCCTGAATAGTTTCTACTTTCTTTTCCTCTTCTTCTCCTTTCTTCTCTTTGTCTTCCTGTTTTTTATCACCGACTTCTGGAGTTTTTTCCACCACAAGTCTCTCGAACCCAATAAAAACTTGAGAGGGATTTTCAACTACTGGGGCGGTCGCAGATTGACTAGAATCTTCAGAGTTTTTACACTCTTTTAATAACATCACCGATTCATAATTAGATAAAGGTCCTTTCTTAGTATCACAATTGGTTTCTTTTTTACCACCACGATTGGTTTCTTTTCCAGAATCTCTACTGGAACTGGCTTCTTTCCCAGTATCTTTGGGAGGGTTTGAAGGTGGGACAGGGGCTGGTTTGTTTTTCCTATTTCTTGACATTGGCTTTGGACTCCCCTGTGGTGGACTGCTGCAAACAAACCAAAAAACATCAATAACAATTGGGTTCACCACATAACACATCAAGCACAACTACTTGACAGGCATACTCATTAGATACTCACTCTACATCTTACATTTAAGAACATTGTTACAGTAATTAAATTGAATAGCCCACTAAACCTGAATAATGTTGGTATATACTAATTAGGATGGTGTGGAGGGAGGAATCGGGAAAGGCGTCCAGCAATCTTTTTTTGACAGAGAATGCATTACACTCTTTCAGGGAATTCATCCTGTGGTGTAGAACTTTCAACCAATAAAATTCCATTGGTCCAGGCTCCAATAGAAGCCCTCCCAGAAACACAGTTTACAATACTACAAAAGTTTACAATACTTCTTGCCATAGATGGAATTTTAGCATTGATAATCTACCTGGATTAAAATGCACTGGTACATAACAGCTATTTGGCTCTCTTTTCTTTCTACTAGAGAATGCGGAAACAGTGTTCCACGTTTCAAGACTAAACAACAGCAGGTGAACAAGAGTCTGGTGAGATTAGGTGATTGTCAGTTGCAAGTAGAGGTGTGCGGATGATGAAATTAAAGTTTGGATCAGATAATTAAAGGCTCGGATTTCGATACTTTCCAATTAGGATAGTTTGACGTTCAAGTACTTAATACATGAATATTAAGGTTAATAAGATAGAATTTTTATTTTTGCATTAACAAAATACAATATTAATATTGCACATCATGATATTTAAAGTTATTAACCTTGGTTCAGTTATTTAAATTGTGACGTTTAAAATATCAGTATACTTTAACAAATAAATGTCCAAACACCAGACAGCAATAAATCATCTAAAGAACCAATCATTAGAAAGTCTAGTAAGCTACTGAATGTGAAGACTACTGGTAGACAATACCAGTAAAACATGCTGTTTCAGAACAGAGGAGTGTCAATGATATATACTAACATTGATGTTCCCATAGTTAAATACAAATCAATTTTACAATTGTATTTATATTCCCACCTTGTTTCCGGTTCCGTATTAGTTTGTTGATTTGATTATTTTTACAATGAGGATGTTTTAATATTTGCCATAGACTCTTGTCGCTAAATGCTATCCTAAATGCCACTTTACTTGTTGACTCCTACAAAATTGATGGAAACGTAAAGTTGGAATTACGTTCTGAGAAACTAATGATGATCATGACGATTTAGTTTTAAACCAAAAACGACATAATACATAGTCCATCCAAAATGTCAGATATTTAAAGCATAGTGTCAGATATCAAATTTGGATTCAAATAACAGAACCCAATCCTACCGGGTTTTTTAAATCCACACACCTTAAGTTTCAAGGTCCCTTGCGACCGCTTCCCACCTCACGCAATGGAGGAAGGTAAAATGTACTGTACTGACATTTTGGGTTTGCTGAAGTACCCATCTTGTGAGGGTTAGCCTTGAAACAGCCATGTCCGGTAACAAGCATAATCAGATAGAAATTTACCTCCCATCTTTTAGCTAAATATAGAAAATCAAAGCTTGCAGTTTTAGCATACAAAATCCCCAATTAATTTCACAGTCCATCTTTCTCGTTCATCCCCCTCCCAGTGGTGTCACCATAGAGCTTTCTTGGGCCTCATTAGAGCTCAAAGCATCATTCCCATAACAAATCTGGTTCCGCTCAAAAGCAAGAATATCAATGGAAATCACCCTGGCAACTAAAAAGACTGCTGGCTCCAGCACCAAACATTTACCAACACCAAGCGGTTTGCCGAAGCGATCTACATTCTATTTAATCAAAAATATTTTCCCCAAGCAAGAATTTTTTACAAGTTTTAAAACAGGGCAAACCAACGCAACACGAGTTAATTCTTTTTATAGGTAAAAAGCCAAAGCAATGAGAGGTGAAGTGAGGATGCCACATGTCGTACCTCTGGTCCTCAGACAGACTACTGTTTGACTGCGTCCTCTTCATACCAGAGTCTGCAGTGTTGATCAGATGGGTGTCTCCACTGCCAGCCCTGGTGTGGCCATTGACTACCTGGTCTCTGTAAAACAACAACTCAGTTAGGCATACAATATGTATCTGGTATAGGTCAAATGTAAGAATACACTTAACTCAAACATCTAACGCTTTATCAGGGTGTCCACCAGGCCAACCAGAAAAAATTCATGAGTAATGCCAGGTAGTTCAGGTCGTACTTTTCATACTATACTTTATAATAGGGATGGTCAAGTCTCGAAATTTCGGGAAATTTTCGGGAAATTTTAAATCTCGTTACACGAGACGAGATTTCTTTTTGGCCGAGATTTTTATCGAGACGGGAATTAAAAAAAAATTAAAAACGCCTGCAGAAAGTCAATGCAATACCCGCAATACAGGAGCGTGTTGTAGTTGCGTTTCCTTTGCGAAGGCGTTCTTATTTAATTCTTTAAATGTAAATATTACTTTAATAACATTTGAGAAGTTTTGTTAAGTGTAAGCAGTGTGAGGAATGTTTTATTACTATAAAAAGTCAAAACAAGTAGGGGGCTAACTATTTTATAAAAATTAATATTGCTTTTATTTTATGATTTATTTTATTTTAGGATAAGTTGAACTCTATCCTAACTGATATCACTATGTTTCCTAATTGTAGGCATTTTTAATAAGTTAGGCGTGATTAATAAAAAAATGTTATGCTGATGTTTTTTAATAAAAGATTGTAAATATTCTTGCCTATTATCATTATTTTTGTATTTAAACAGTCATCTAACAATGTTACAAAACCAGGTAAAAATTTTGAACGTGCATTTCCCGTTGTGTATGAGAAGGGAAATCCCGTCTCGATCTCGTCTCGAAATTTTATGAGAAATAAAAAATCTCGTCTCGTCTCGTCTCGAACTAAAAATCCAATCTCGTCCATCCCTACTTTATAACGTTTTTTTGCGCGAACTCCCGCAATGTTGTTTTAGCGCTAACACTGTTGGCTATTATAGTTATAGGAAAAAGCATTCTCAGTTAGAAACAAAACAAAATTTATGATTACTATAATATCGCCTGACACAAGTAGGCCTATGCAATTTTTATATATTACTGATTAAATAATCCAAAATTAAAAACTAATCCTTAAACCTGCAATTTATGAATAACTTTTTAAAAATAGTGATATGTCGATAGGCTACAAAAATTTATCAAATCTCCGTTCAGACACCTAAAAAATAGATTCGTAATACTGATAATTTTAATTTTACCAAGTTTTCTGTAAGGATTACTACACCAACCCTTGTCTTTATGTACTTTCATAAAGTATGTAATTTTGGAGTTATGGGTTGTTTTGCAAGTGGCCTACAGAAATAACTAATGCAGAAATTACAAAAATTTCATGTAGACAATTTAAGTTTTAAACCATTCTAAACACATTAAATAAATACCACGTGCCATTATGAAAATATTCTGTCAAGCCAAACTCAAGGTTATATCATGATCCACTGTCGTAGAGACACCATCATCGTTTCCAGCGACAACTGCAAAATCCTGAATAACTCCCTCAGTAACGGAAACATCACCACTGTTCCGTGGTCATGACAAAATCCTGATATTGTTCTGAGGTAACGGAAATATTTCCTCGATCGTAGCGTAATTCTAATAATTTCCCAAGGTCTTTATCATCAAGCAATTATTTTTGGACATCATCATCGTTTCCCGCGGTCTCGGACACATAGTCGTCGTCTCCTGCAGTCAAGGAAACGCCATCGTCGTCATGCACGATCGCGGAAAAATCACTAACAAATCAAGCGGCCGTTTGGATATAATAATCGTCTCCCTTGGTCACGGAAAGGTCATTGTCGTCTCCCGCAGTCAAAGAAATGCCATTGTCATCATGCGCGATCGTGGAAAAATCACTAAAAAAATAAGCGGCCGTTTGGACATCATCATCGTCTCCTGCGTTCACAGAAACGTCATCTTCATGCCCGATCACGGCAAATTGAAAATTCCCGGTAAAATACAAAATTCACACATTTTTTTCTGGTTTGAAAAAATCACGCATAATTCTCGGTTTTCCTGGTCGGTTGACACCCTGTTTATCCCTGTTTATGGTAAACTTTACAGAATGGTATTTCTAAAAATAAATACATGAATACTAATGATGCGCTATGCACACATAAAAATATAGGTAAATATAGGTATATCATATATTTAAAAACATGAATCTTTTATAAGGTCTTTTATGTACGATTATAATAACTAGGCCTATTTGTGTCTTAAAGAAACTAAATTTGTAATAAACAATAATTATTAGTACTGTATCTAAATTCGGTCTCCAATTTCAACAGAACTAGTTGCAGCAGAGGCAGATATGGATAAAAAAGGACAGTAAATCTTAGACTTTTTGTGCCGGTTTGGCAGTAAAATGTAACGTATTTGAAACCATATTTCATTAAATGTATAACACAGAAAAACAAGGAATAAATAAATTAAGAATTATTGTGTTTATAAAACTAATCTTTAGGTAAGAGTTAAAATTTTATCTCAATTGTAGTAGTCTCGATTCTGATTAAACCAAACACAGTAAGGTTGAATAAACGGGTTCCATTATAGGTCATGCTACATGAATAGCATGTAATCTCACACTACTTAATCGTCTACAGTAGGGATGGTCAAGTCTCAAAATTTCGGGAAATTTTCGGGAAATTTTCAATCTCGTTACACGAGACGAGATTACTTTTTGGCCGAGATTTTTATCGAGACGAGAATTAAAAAAAAAAAAAAAAAAAAAAAAATATTAAAAACGCCTGCAGAAAGTCAATGCAATACCCGCAATACAGGAGCGTGTTGTAGTTGCGTTTCCTTTTCGAAGGCGTTCTTATTTAATTAATTCTTTTAATGTAAATATTACTTTAATTCTTTTAATGTAAATATTACTTTCATTATTTTAATAATATTACTTTAATAACATTTGAGAAGTTTTGTTAAGTGTAAGCAGTGTGAGGAATGTTTTATTACTATAAAAAAAGTCAAAACAAGTAACTATTTTATAAAAATTAATATTGCTTTTATTTTATGATTTATTTTATTTTAGGATAAGTTGAACTCTATCCTAACTGATATCACCATGTTTCCTAATCGTAGGCATTTTTAATAAGTTAGGCGTGATTAACCCTTTCAGTGCTAGGCCAATAATTCATATTTTGTAAGACTTTTTTGTTTGCCTTTTAATTCCATTACCTGTTGTTGAATTTTAACTGTCATGTTGTCACTATTTTATTAATTAGGCTAATTTTGAATAATAACACAATAAGAAAATATATAAGAAAGATAAATCCCGCTATTTGTAGTAAACATTAAATAAAACTTAGTTTTTGTTGTAAGTTTCCTGGTTTTCCTATAAATTTTTATGTTCTGATAGCATTATTTGAAACCAAAATCTCATAAAATCAAAAGACATATAGTTTACAATGTAATATTGAATTTAACCTTGATTTAGTTGGACGAGGTTATCGTAATATAGCCATTTTAGGGAAACTAATGTTTTGCAGCAAAGTTTTAGGAACACATTTATGATCACTGTTGTGTTTAAACTAAAAGATTGCATCTAAATAGTCCGTGACTAACTGTTGCTGCTATCTAGTAACGCATTGAACAACCATCTGCAGCGCCATCTGTTCGCAATCGGTGGCGACAGCTTAAATACCGGGTTTTGACTCCCCAGTCTTCAAGCACAGATAGCCGAGAAGGCTAGGGCGTGTGTCACTTGGCCAGTGGCATTCGTCTGCTCGGGTTCGAATCCCGTCCTGTGTGGCAAATAATTGGTGACCTGTGTGTTTGTAGCGATATACTACAACCACTGGGGCATAGTGAGGTGTTCATAATCCTTGGTTTAGACATACACCTCGAAATCATCGGATTGGGCGAATCTTTTAGCTAAGTGGTTGATAGTGTATCCTATGAACATGCAGGTCACCAATGGCCGTTTTGCTATTTTTTGCTAAAATAACCTTCCTCTCTATATCCCTTAGAGATTTTTTAAAACAACGATATATCGTTTTATAGCACTGAAAGGGTTAATAAAAAAATGTTATGCTGATGTTATTTAATGAAAGATTGTAAATATTCTTGCCTATTATCATTATTTTAGTATTTAAACAGTCATCTAACAATGTTACAAAATCAGGTAAAAATTTTGAACGTGCATTTCCCGTTGTGTATGAGAAGAGAAATCTCGTCTCGATCTCGTCTCGAAATTTTATGAGAAATAAAAAATCTCGTCTCGTCTCGTCTCGAACTAAAAATCCAATCTCGTCCATCCCTAGTCTACAGTGAAGTGAGACTCGGCTGTAGCTGGGATATACTCTTACCTAGTAAATGTGACAAACATGTTGTACTCCCCGGGAAAGAAGTAATCACTGTAGGTGACTAGGCTGTCCAATATGATGCTGTGTAGACTGGCTGTGTTCATGTTCATACCGATGTTGTTGCCATCGTCGTTGGGCGACCAAAGTAGATTGGGGGCTACCACAATAGCTATGTTCTGGGGGGTCATCTTGTTGACCTACGGACATAAATTATGGTTATATAACACCATACATATATCATATATTACAATTTATATCAGTACAACCAAAGATTTTGGTTAGGTCCCAATGTTGTATAGTATATATTTTTAGGAGATAAATATTAACCCTAACAAGAGCACATTTTACTTACTATTACCATGGCCTCCTTTAACTACAGGCCGCGGCGTTCGAAGTGGCAACACCGCACGGGATGGCTGGGTGGCTACTGCTACGCTACACCACTGAACGCTCGCGCTCGCGGAGGTTTGGAGCAAGCACGCAAATTATCTATTAATTTATATGTTTTATATCTGACAACACTGATGTGTAGAAAAAGAAGGAAAGAATTATACGAGGCTTTCGTGTCAATACAATAATATAATACAATACAATACTTATTAAGTGTCAATACAATAATATAATACAATACTTATTAAAACCTTTTACGACGTTACATTGAAAATATAAGTATTAGGACTATAATTGTAGTTTTCTTCCGTCTCTTCTACGTATTTACTCTATGATTTATTATTTTTTAAACACTTAAATTTTTAATCCTTTTTACAATGTTATATAGTTACAGCTTCTATGTAAGTTATATTGTTTAATCAATTATTAGAATGATAACTTTTACTATACAAAGTAAAAATTAACAAAAGCAATAAATAAAATTATTTTATTCAAGAAAGGATTGACATTTTTCTATGGTTACAGTGGCTATTATTTTTCTTTTTTTTACTTTCGTGTAGTTATTTAGCAAAATATTGCTTATTCTCAAATTAATTGTTGACACTATTTCCTTCAAATTTACTCCACAAATACAAACAGTTTAAGCTATTTATGAAATATCGATATCTGACATAAAAACCACTGTCACTAAAAACCAGCCAAAACAGAAGAACAACTGCACGCTGATTAGACCTATACATGTTGTCGCTAATTTAAGTTATTCGCTAATTCCACCTAATTCAATGAAGATGGTGGTTGCCACGCCACTATTGGTTGATGAGCTCTAAATTCAAAGTTTCCGCTAGCCCCGCCTTCCGATTGTCTGTTGCAAGAATATTATCAATGGATTAGTTACCAATGGTGACCAGAATGAATAAAGTAATATTTTTATTTATCATAATACTACATAATGACGTACAAATAAAACACATACCGTACTTAAAATTCATAATTAACTACAGCAAAATAATTATTAAAACTAAAAGGAAAATGCATTTCTGTTTTAGGCTACGGTATTTAATTATGAAGACGTTAAGTCGTGTAGTGTGCAGTGTACGTGTAAACTTGTTGGTTGAATTGTAGTAAATAGTTAACCTGTCTTCAAAATACATTTAACGCTGTGCTGTTGGCTGTAATAATATTACTTATTACGGGAAAATATAAGGAACACAGGTAGAGCTTTCAGTTATTATACTGAACTTCTGTACTGATTGGGAATGAATGTATATTAAAGTTATATTTGATACAAAAGTAATACTCTTGAGGATAACCAAAAGACATTTTAACAACCTGCTTGAAATAATTCAGTTGGCCTACATTAATTATTAGCTATGCGATACTACACTACAGCTTGCGCGCAGCGCTACTCGCCGCGCCGCGCCATAAAACTGAGATTTTGTCGCTCTGTTCAACCCAAAATTTTAACAAAACTAAGCATGATAGAAAGAAAAGTTAAAAACAAACATTAAAGTATATTTAATTATCTACAACTTTCTCACAGACGAAACTTCTCTGACCAACAAACAAAAATTTTAGTAGGCGACTAACTTTTTCACTTCACTTTTCCAAAATTTTTCAAATGTGTTAATTTAAAAAAATATTTATATATACTACTAAATGAAATTTTAATTTTCAAAACTATACTATTGGCATGAAGGGTTTATTCCCTAGCTCTGTACCAAATTTCAAAATTTTATCTAAATTGTAAGGGTGTAAAAATGCAGTACATTTAAACCACGACCACTAATTCCATATTAACGTAATGGTAAAACGGCCGGGAGTTAATGCTCGGTGCAACGTTGCCAATTCTCGCTGGCCGCGGCCTGTAGTTAAAGGAGGCCGTGCTATTACTCACAGTTAGTCATACAGAAGTGAAGTGAATCATCTCCAGTTCTTGGTCTTCAGCCTTCGACCTTTGAGCTTTAACATGCATATCCTGTTTCTTATTTAGCTTCCCTGGTTCTTTCTTAGTAAGCATTTAGCGTAGAATATAACATTGAAATATTGGGTAAAGAATTATTATTTATGATTTAATACACAACATTGTATATGATCAATTAAATTTTCACCTATTTTACCTAGCTGTACTATGATCAAAAACACTTTGAACACAATCAAGGCGAGTCTATAAAAATAGGAATCAATGCAACTGTTTCATCACATAAAAACTGTACTTTCTTTAACTAAACGCTTTAATATTTACATTCATGTTATGTTTTTCTGCAGAGAAGAGTTGAACCAGTTAATTTGTCCTCTCCAGGGTAGGAATAAGGATGAGAAGAGATGGAAGTCATCCTTCCATCCATCTTGCACTAAGAGATTTCTCACTTACCTACTTTGAAATCATCTAGATTAAGTGCAGTTGGTCCTTGTAGGGGGCTTTGATTAAGTCCCAGGATACATATAGAATAAAAAAAAGATGCTTGATATATAAGCCTCTAGAGAAAGTGTTTTTGTGCAAGTGCATTTGATTTCATTTGTACATGTATATTTACATACATGTATAAGAATTTAATTTATATTGAATTGTATCCGCTATTAGGTAATGAAAGCTTAATCCTTGGAAACTACGTAGTTATGTGGATACTACAAAGCTGAAGATGGAGGTTTATTAGATTTTTTACAATTGAACACTCACCTCTTGATTCTGAGAGAGCAAGGCTAGGAACTTGACAAGGTAACGCAGGTTGTCAAGGTTCGCAGTAGGCAGTTGCTGTACCACCGACCACAGAGCTTGTAGTCTGGTGTCGTTTGGTGCTCTGTGGTGAAAATACACTCTGCTGATTACTAATGTAGTAACTTTAGCCTTTACTTTGATTAGCTTGATCAAGGGACGTCTTGCTTTTAAGGTTTTAACAGTGGGATAAGCGTGGTCGCTAATATAGTTTGAATACTTAACTTAGCAGATAAGCATAAACCAATGAAAAGTATTACCTAAGGCCAAAGGTTTGATCACAAAAAGAACCATGTTGGCTACAGATACGGTAAATTACTTATTCACCTGGAACAGTGGTAATTCCACCCCTTGCGAGTTAAACTAAACAGTGTTTGGTTTCAACATGACATATTTTTTTAACAATTGATTTGAACTTCTCAGTCATAACAGTCAAAGAGGATATAATTTTTTGTTAGATTAAATGTTAATTTTAGTACAGATTACAATATACAGTTACAATATATCAATTTTAGTTAAGTTAATTTTAGTACTGTATTTGCTAATCTGATGTTTTCTCCACTAACTTGGCAGCAGCTATCCACTGGTCGTGAAGCCGGTAAGTCATGAGAGGTTCAGGGAGCTGGCGCAGGTAGCTCTTGAGCACCGAGGCTATCACATGAGGGTCCCGATACTCTAGCGCAGTCTCCAAGCTCAAGCAGTTGGCGTCCAAACTCAGCTTCATCCGCTTTATCTTGGACGCTCCTGAAACAAGAGGGTTACATTCAGTCATCTGATGCAAAGAGATGGGATTTACTTGACATGGAAGCGGTTACTTCTACAGGTTGTACTAGAGTTTCACATGTTAGACAGCACCACTCATCACCATTTTAGTGGATTTACATTAATCGGACTGAACAGTAACAATCTCAACTCATCATACTGTTATTGTTTACTAAATAAATATGCACATACAATCATGCAAAGCAGTGCACCTTTTAGCGAATTTCCCATATAGGGAATAAGCTATTACCGTAGTACTCATGGTAAGACCTGGACCCGGGACCGATTTTTTTTTTCGTTTTGAGGTCCCTAGAGGCCAAAAACACCATCCGTTCAAATTCATATATATATATATATATTTATATATATATATGTGTCCGTTAGCGCGATAACTCGAGCAAAAATGATCCGATTTTGATGAAATTTGGTACAAACGTGTAAACCTACGTTTATTCGAACGAGTTCGCGAACCAGCATGATCGGACCATGGGAACAGGGGTTTATGGGGGCTTTTATGGGGTAAAAATGGGTTTTTCCCATTTTTTACCCAAAAAACATAAAGTTTTGCAATTTCTTTCTAAACTATTTTGTAGAGCTTAAAAAAACAAATAATTTAGTATATTGAAGCGATATAATGCACCTAATGGTTACGGAGAAAATTCCAAAAAATTGTAAATTTAAAATTTCCATGTTATTCTTATGGAGAATAATTAAACTGTTGTAGTTTGCTTGTTTATTAACATATTTTGCCCAAATTTGGAAAATGTTTTTATTTCTTACCAACTATTAACATTTTACATAAAAAACACTTTTACCCTCCCTGTTGCAGCAAACCTAAGTATGTTTTAAACTGATTTTATGTAAATAGGGAATAAATGTGATATTTTTAAGGAGACATTTTAGTGTAAATCCATTCAGGGAAATGGAAATTCGCTTAGTATGCAGGTTTGCTGCGGCGGGGGTATTTCCTTAGGGTGTAGTTTTAGCCAAAAAAATGGTGTTAAATGGAGTAGTAAAAATGAGAAGGTTTTTCCATGGCATTAATAACTAAAATAGTAAGTCATAAAACAAAAACTTATCATTGAGAGACCTCGAATAGACTGTAGTCATCGTCAAAGAGGCGCCTTAAACAGCTTAAGATATACTCTGAACCAATTCACATCATTATTACATAGCCATTGGCGGTTTGCAATATTTATACACTGGCCTCAAAGACAGAAGTCCTGCAATCGATTACAGCTAGATATTGTGTTTTCAGGTATGACACTCAACTCACCCCCAGCTACTCTAAACAGTCCCTCCTCGTCCATGGCCAGCACACTGAGCGCACACACACACAGCTCTATAGGGTAGGCGATCTTACGACCAGTCACTCTCAGATGCTCCTCCAGTGACACTCCAAACACAGGCTTCACACTCCAGTCCACTGTCAACAATCAAACTGTTCGCTTCATGTGTTTTAGGTTATGTTACATTTTTTAGCTTCACTTATATTGACGGTTAGGGCTGGAAAAATGTGTTGCATCTGTTATTTTTGTAGGCTGCAAAGCCAACATTATTAAAGCAAAAACTACGTATGTTTAAACTATACGTGTTGCTAGCATGCAAATGTAATAATAATAAATTAATATAAATAATACTTGTTGTACAGTAGTAGGAAATGTGCAATCATAATAACAACTGCACAGTGGTGAGTGTGCAGTTTAATCATGGCAACAGTAGAACATTAAATTGTTGTTCCTGAATGAGAGGTCAAAAAGGTTCTTCATCAACAAAGCCCAGTGGTGTACAAATATAATATGACCCAACAAGCACAATATACGATCATAGTCGTCAAATAATAATCTAAGCTGTAAAGTTAAAGTTACTTACAAATGTTGGACTCCAACTCAGGAATCATTTCATCCAGAGTGGCCATTGCTGTCTGGTGGTACGACCGTTGTAGCCTGGCATACTCCAGAACAGTGGTGGCCAGCTCAGTCTCTCTGGCCATCAGCTGGAACATCTCACAGGCCAGTGTGTCCCGACACTGTTCTACTTTGGTTTCCGCCTCCTCCAACTCGTCCCGGATGGACTCCACTTTGTTGCCTTGCGAATAATTGTTGTGCTTTTGAGCTGTTTGATACCTGATAAAAGGAGAAAGTTATTTGTGTGTAGCAAAACTTCACGAGGTAAAACACAAATTATCAATCTAAAGATAAATTCTATGAGTGAGGAGTGAAATGAGACCCTTTTTGAACCACTTGTATCAGTTTGAGAACCATTCTTGATTTGAATACATTCTATTCATTTAAATCAAAATAATGAGCAACTAGATGTCAACTATCATTTACTGTACTATAACCAATTTAAGCTGAACAAAGATATGTTGTTGTATTCCTTTCAAGAGTGAGATAGAGACAATGTGATAGTTATTGTATACTGCAAGATGACAATCTTGTATATTCATACAAAAGTGTTTTCTTTTTTGTTGACACAGGTTTTTGATTTCCCTCAAAACATAGATAATTTACTTGTGCTCGAGGACTGCTTGCTCACCTGGTTCTAGCACTGTCCATGTCTAGTATGAGCTTGTTGAGGTGGCGTTTGTGCTTCATGATGGTGGGTATGTCAGACTCCACCACAGTCTGTAGTGTCGCTAACACACCAGTCTCTACTCGGGCCTCATGGTCCACACACGCATTGGCCAGACACATCTCCAGCTTGCCACACTCCGATATCACAGTCCTGCGATCCAACAATCAGTGTATTGACTTTGAGATTGAAGACTTTGTCACAAATGTGTAACCGATGCCAATCTAGGAATTTACACATTATAATTCCAAATATTGAAGTAGCCTAAGCATACTTCTCCGAATAATTATTTTGTTGCCATTGCTACCTGATTGAATACTTAGTAGTACCTAACAACCTAACCAAACCCATCTAACTTATCTTACCTAATATTTACCAAAGAAACTACTTCAAGGGCTGGCAACACAATTATTACTTACTCTTACTCCCATGGCCATTTGTACCCCAAGTGGTACTTGGCCTCACCAACACACTGCCTCCACGTTTTTCTGTCTCTTGCGGTATTTTCATTGACTTCCATCCTGGCCATATTTTTCTTTACTTCATCCGTCCAGCGTTTCTTTGGTCTCCCTTGTGGTCTTCTCCCCAGTGGATCAATTTTTCATATTTGATTTACAGTAATGATGTGGCCCGTCCAGCAAAGCCTCCTCTTTTAACCTCTGCAATTATATGAGGCACCTTGAACAGATCTCTTAGTTCTTGATTATGTTTAATTCTCCATACGTCTCCTTATTTAAAAAGATTTAGCAAACTCCCAATATTTAGCTATTGCTTCCTTGAGAATGTATATTTATAATATTTGATCTGTTCTGGACCTGCCCCTTTGAAAACCAGCTTGGTGCTCTTCAATTATTTCCTCTGTGTATTCCTCAAGTCTCTTGTGGAGTATCTTAAATATTAATTACCTTATAGGAAGTATTTAATAATGATATTTCTCGGTAGTTATTTGGGTCCCATTTATCACCTTTTTGTGGAATGGGATTATTATTGCATTTCTCCAATCTTCCGGTACATTTTCTTCCTTCCATACTTGTAATATTATTTTATGTAGCCTTTTCGCTAGCTCAAGTCCTCCAGCTTTCAATATTTCAGCACTTATCCTGTCTTCTCCTGGGGCATTGTTGTTTCCTGTACTTCTTCTACAGTCGGTGCTTCAAGGTTTGGTTAAACACTCATGTATGTTCACTCCCTCAGTGTCCTCTTCTCCATTTAATAAATCTTGAAAATAACCTTTCCAGACATCACTTTGTATTTCTTAGTGACAATTTCTTCATTTTTCTTATCTTCATAAGAATTAATTGGGTGTATATCCCCCACTAAATAGTTTGACTGTCTTGTAGGTAACTTAACACTTAACACAATAATTAGAATATTGCACTGTCATTGAACGAATTTTCAACTGGGGAAGATTTTTACTTAGTAAGATGATGTACAGGCCTGACAATTCTGTCATTGGCAATTAAATACACTAATTATTGTGTAAAGTGTAACATTTTGTCTTTCAAGTACAGTACTCGGATAGGATGTGTCCTAATATAATAGGAATTTTTTTTTAAATCAGCCAACAAACTGGCTACTGGACAAATACTTTTCCAATGCGAGGGAGTTCTAAGACATTACTAAAAAAATAGAGGTGTCCTAAAATACACAAATGATCTATTTACCAATACTTATGTTGTATTTGTGTAAACACTGTAAACCTTGCTAGGAGTTAACAAATGTAATAAAAATTGTTAAGATATAGATTCATAAAAATTCACTCCATCTATTATATTCTTTCAGTAAGGCAAAATCTAAGAATTATTATTTATTCATGGTTTAAGCTTGCTTGTTTTAAGAGGTTTTTGTTGGGCTTGTACTTTTAGGTAAAATACGTAACTTTAAAAACAATTCGATAACAAATTGAGTGTTCTTTGAAAAAAATTTACAACATTATAGATTTATTATTATAACCTTATTTAATTCATTATCAAAACTAAACTAATTTCAACTAGCTTAGACAGTGTTTGTGGTTCTTTTCACTATCAGTACATCAGTAGGACTTCATATAGTAAATATTGCTGTTAGATAAACCAAACAGATTCAAACGTTTTTTTACCTCAACAAACAATCCTCTTCGCAGTTTCCACTCTCTAGCATAGCAATCCCCAACTGGTAATCTGCATTCTTTTTCTGAAAAACGTCAATTTATCACAGTTCCACTTAAAACAGTTTATGATCAACTACAATGATTACCATTCTTCGTTTTAAGTAAACATGTGCTAATTTCAAACTAATATAAATCAAAATAGTTTTAAAGGCGCAGAATGCAGAATATATTCACAAAAAGAATGTTTCAGGATACTGGAACTGCAACAAAATAGTTAATACTCATCAACTGTACAAATTTTATTCTTTCATTAATCACCTTACATTAAGTTATAATTTATTTGTCATTATTTATTTAGATATTTCATTTACAGTTTTAAATTAAGCTTAATTGCTTGGAAAAAGGTTCTATTTATTGTTGTAGGACGTTGTTTCCCGTCCTAACTTATTGTTTGTTAATCTCAAGGGGTTAGACTTTTGCCGAAGGCTGGTCCATTTTAATGTACTACCAGCAACACCCCAGGACAGCCAAGGCAGGATACAACTTCACAGGTCTTGTTAATGCAACTAATTGGGTAGTATTTTAAAACAACATTCAAAACAGGAGAAACGGCATGTGAGTGTTAGCTTGAGTTTGAGTTCAAAACACAGCAGCACAACTCCCAGATACCCCTAGCCTCACTTTTTACGCTCAAACTTTTAACAAAAATCTCTACACAGATAAGCATAAAAACATCTCGATGTTCACACTATTGATTATGTCCTTGGCAAAATATTAAAACACATAGTCTACAGTAAGCTGTAATAATCAGGGGTAAGCTATTAAATTGAAAGGGTTTTCAGAAACATTCGGGGCCCACTTGACATATCAGCGACTTTTATGGGGGTGAATATTAATTGTTTGATGGGAGATTGGTGATTTTTGGGAGCTATAAACACAATATTTTGACTTCTGCAACCATTGTTTTATAGCCTCATTTAACACATTGAGTGCGGACTACATCTATTGATGTAGTACGTCACGAGCACTCCTATCGGCCTACATCTATAAATGTAGTCGCGCCACTCTCACTACATTAGTTCAGTATGAGCTCAGCCATTGCCGGGACATGTTATTTCGTAGCCAGCCTGTAGCTTAGAATGTAGGCTTTATTTTGGTGTAGGTTGGCACTAAAAATTCCCGTAAAATCCCATCTGACAATGCTTTTGTCCCGGTTTCGGGGATTTTCTCTCTTTGAGAAATATTACAAAGATACTGGCTACGAATCCAGCTAGTACTGCTACCTTTGGGTGTTTCAGTGAACTACGTCCACTCTCGGGGTAACGCAGCACAATCACTGCTGATCTTTTGTGATTCGTCAGACTGAAATATTTGAATGCCAATTGCCATCGCTGATTCAGTGGCGCGCCGGTGCTTCGCTTAGGCCTCGCCGCCATTGGCAAGCGCCTGTTTAAAGGTTTTCAGCACTCAACGTGTTTAAATGATTATACATATTTATTCATGTTCGGAGCAGGGCATGGCACATGAATGATTTGAAGGGTTTACTGTATTACTTACATTGTTAGGGAAAACTTGTCACGGATTGCTTTTAGCTTAACAATTTTTACTCTTATGATAAAGGCACAAGACAGCAACACTTACCAGTCTTTTCTCCTTGGCAGTGGCATCCTGTCCCTGGGTCTGGAGGGAGCCACTCAGTTTCTTGCTCGTGTTCTGACACGCCACTCGGATGAACTCCACCCTCTTATCAGCCGCCTGAAGGTCATCTGATAACACTTCTGTCTTCCCGGCTCTAAAACATTGAGTTACTAAATTAGCAAGTAGGAAAAACCTGCAAAATTTTTGGTGAACAGGAAATCTGTTAATAGACCTACATAAACGTAATACGTGTTTGTCAGAGGAGAAAGACCCACATGGAGTGCTTTATTTCTAGAAATTCTAGAAGCTGAAATTCAAAACAACTTGGAGCAATGACTCATGTTTTTTGTCCTTCACACACTCTCATTTCCTTTGTACAACATTCATTAAAAAGACAAGTAGTTCATTGACGATTGGAGAACTCTTTCGTTTGGATTCATTAGAACACAACAGACTCCAAAGGTAAAGGACACACATAGTATATTATTATTTGCAACCAAAAGGTGAGTGAGCGTAGCGAACGAACATCAACCTGGAGGCTAGTTAGCGTAGCGAACGAGCTAACCTGAAGGCAAGTGAGCGCAGCGAACGAGCTCCAACCTAAAGGTGAGTGAGCGTAGCGAACGAACTTCAACCAGGACGTGATTGAGCCATGCGAACGAGATCATCTTGAAAATTAAGAAGTTAAACGGGGCAAAGCCCGCGGGTTACAGCTAGTATATATTAAAACGTGATAGCGGTTTTTTCAGGATTCGGAATCAACCACTTGACGGATTTTCGTGATTTTTAAGTTGAAAGAAAGATCATTTTGAGAACTAGATAATGTCGAAGCCATTATTTTAGTTTAGGGTTTCAGTTTTTTAGAAGTTTTAATTTTTTTTAAGTCCATCAGCAGACGCTAACATTTTAGACTAGCTTTTGGTATGATACCATTTGCTTAACGTAACAGCTGTAAGCATTCAGCGTTTTTGACACAAATTCTGCATTTGGATAAAAATGAAAGTACATACGTAGGGTTAACTTATTTAGACTATGTGTTATTATTTATGAGTGATTATTTAAATATACATAGTAAAATACTAGATGTTCTAATATATTTTTTGAGCGGTCTTTAAAATCTTGGGTTTCTTTTTGTGCAATATAATTTGTTTGAACCTACAGCTGGGTGGATATGAAAATATTCAATAAAACTATAAGGTTATTTTATTTAGTCTACTAGCAACAGAGCCCGTTGTGGTTAAATACAACGGTCTCTAGTAAAATAATGGTTATGAAATCCATACAACACTTTACTCACTAATATTAATGGTACAGATTAAGCACATAACATTAGAATCACACACGTAACATAAGGAACACACTTTAAACACAAATACAAATTGTTAACAACATTCAATGAAAGAAAAATCAATTAAATGACAATATAACAATAAGCTGTTCAATTAATTAACAATTAATTAGTTAACACATGTTTCGTATGATTAGATTATAGATAATGGTAAACCAATTATTGTCATCTATACCATTTATTGGTTTTTCTTTTACGAGTCGGGTTAGCTCTTCTACCCTACTCATTTTCAAAATTTTGCCTTAAACTAAAGGTATGGACGCACCACAGATTTGCCATCAAGCATCGGCATTCATTTTAACGTCTATTTTGAGTTATGCACAAACTGCCTCCCTGTACATTTCTTATGGGAGTTAAATTTGTTTTTTTTTTTCAAGTTCGTTTGGCTCTTCTACCCGACTGATTTTCATAGTTTTGGTCTTAAAATAAAGCTATGCAAGCACATATTTGTCATCAAGTATCATCATTAATTTATCTGTATTACTAGACAAAAAATAAAATTTTTTTAATTTTTTACTTCAATTAAAGATGTATTCCAGGAGTCCTAATTACATTACCGTACCCAATATGTTTTGGTCTGAAAACCTTTAGTTAAATACAGATTATATTTGAGCTATTGATTATTAAGATCGGACTACCTAAAGCACACTGCTGAATCATGAATCAACAATACTGTAATTATAATCGTTTTAGTACTTATCTGCAATCAATGATACGTAACTCTATTTTTATTTAAGTTATTTTATATGTCTTGGTCTTAAAATACTTCTAGAAATAAAGGTTTTCATTTGAGATATTGATAATTTAATCAGTTATGTTCAAGATACCGCATCGCTTAATCAGAAAACCTCAATTTGATTAGGTATATCTTTAAGTTTTAGATACGTTTTAGATTACGTTATCCTATTTGCCGTTCTCCAAAAGATTATACAAAAACAGGTTCTTTTGACCTAAGAAACTTTAGTGAAATACCAGCTTCCATTTTAATTATTGATTATTAAGATCGGACGTAGGCTACCTAAAGCACACTGCTAAATCACAAACAACCCAAATTGTTAAAAAAATTGAGTTATTTATAATCGATTTATAGTCAACGATCTTGCTTGCAACCTCAACAGTAACTGTCGACTTTGACGGGTTTCACCTAGTAAATCTTAAAAATCAAACTTTCATAATTATTTCCAAATCTACACGAATTATGCTTTCCAATGACCTATAAATTATTAAAATCGGTTCAGTAGAACGTATATTTAATTGTACAAAGTTTAACAACAACATCTTTAATTCAGTATTTTCTCATTACTATAAATAGGGAGGTTGCTTAAGGTTTGTTAGGTAAATTAAGAACGAGTGAATGTCTACCTAAAACAAATTAGGCTAACTTTACAACTTTAGTCGTAGCAAAACTGAAAATATTTGTAGGCTTTTAGGTTTTATTTTTTTAACCTCTTGAACAAATCAAACACCTAGAGCAATGCTCAGTCCTCTGGTACTAATTTCTTAAATATGTCAGATTTATTAAATATTTATACAACATTAGATCCAACAAGTACATAGGTTTGCTGATGCAGCGAAGTTAATAAAGTTCGTTTTTAGTGAAACTTAAATAGCTTAGTATGAAAGACTATTTGTGTATTTTGCAAAAAATAACTTCAACATTTTTAAATTTCTCCGTAGCAGCTGACTACACAACAACGCTTTGAGTTTTTTAAGCTTTACAAAATAGTTTAGAGGGATATTGCAAGATTTTATGGTTTGAGGGTCAAAAAATGGAAAACCTCATTTTTACAACACAAGACCCAATTGCCATTGTCCAATCATGCTGGTTCGCGAACTTGTTCCAATACAACCTTGTTACTTGTTAGGCTACCAAATAAAAAAAAACACTAGTGGTAGATTAAACATTGCCAACAAACACATAATCATGTTCTTGGATAAGCACAAGATAAATAGTGATTCAGAGTAACAGATAACATGAGATAAGTAATTACATCAACATTGTAAACAGTAAAAAATCAATATTCAGAAGTCAAGAAAAATCAAAGTCAAGAATAACCTAATTGACCAGTGCTTGGCAGTTTGATTGGTTCCTGCAAACTATCTAAATCTACGAGAATAGTTTTAATCAGATGGGATGAATTAATTGAAAATTCCTCATTTACAAACAAGTTTTTTTCTACTTTGGATTGTTATTTAGGCCTACTTGAATATAATTTACTAATAATCCCAAAAACAAAAACCCATTTTGTGACCAGATAAAGGTTGTTTAGGATGAGTCAAAGTCAAGAGAGGAAACAACTATCAAACTCCAAAATGGGATCACTTTTCTTATGAGACTAGTGTGAGTGTGTTGAGACTTGTGAATACTGTTCAAGTATGATACTTCATCATGGTAAGGATGATCATATGAAGCTTCTTGCCATTACATAGTAAAATATTATTTCATAGTGTAGTATTCAATTAAAATAAGGCTATCATAACATCGTTTTACAATTTACAGAAGAACTCCAATTGTCCGAATCAATTGGGACCATAACATATTCGGATAGTCGAAAATTCGTTTGATTGGATCTTAACTGAAATTCAGAGTATTTTACAGGAATTAGGGCAAGAAGCGCCGAGTTTTTACTAATGCGTTCGCAGAATTTTATCTGAAAATTTTTTTGCCGCATTTGTTGAGGATGATTATGATTTTCTGTGACTGCGGGAGAAGAAGATGATACAAGAACGAGGAAGATATTCAGGATTAGTCCACAATCATTGAGAATGATGACAATTTTTCTGTGACTTTGGGAGACAATGATTTCTACAAGACCGCGGAAGATGTGCCCGATTTTGCCGCAATCGCAAAAAACAATGTAGCGATCTTGGCCTCTGCTTTCATTAAAAAAGATTCTTATAATTGTGGTTTTAAGTGTTTTTTTAATTCTTTCTATAAAGTGATTCGGATGGTTGGAGTTTGGATAATTGGAGTACTACTATATTTAAATGTCAGCTGTTTCAATAATATTTCTCATCCTACTAATCCTACTAATATTATAAATGAGAAAGTTTGGACGTATGGATGTATGTATGGATGTATGTTTGTGACAAGTGAACGTGAAAAATACTGGTCGGATTGGGCTGAAATTTGGCATGATGATAGCTCACATTCCCGATTAACATATAGGCATATTCTTATTTCAAAAATCCTTTCGGGCTCCGCCCCAGTGGCTCTGGAGTTTCCCATGTTAATCTTATGAGAAATGGAATTATTGAATCTTAACAGCTGTTTCAATTAAATAAGTTGGTTCTGTTCTATGATGTTCAATAGCATTAAAGTTACAAGGATTACCAACAGGGTGCAGCACTATTATTTCTTTTACGTTTATGACAACAGCTAATTTGCAACCAAAAGGTGAGTGAGCGTAGCGAACGAACTTCAACCTGGAGGCGAGTTAGCGTAGCGAACGAGCTAACCTGAAGGCAAGTGAGCGCAGCGAACGAGCTCCAACCTAAAGGTGAGTGAGCGTAGCGAACGAGCTCCAACCCAAAGGTGAGCGAGCGTAGCGAACGAGCTCCAACCTAAAGGTGAGTGAGCGTAGCGAACAAACTTCAACCAGGACGTGATTGAGCCATGCGAACGAGATAATCTTGAAAATTAAGAAGTTAAACGGGGCAAAGCACGCGGGTTACAGCTAGTAATATTATAAATGAGAAAGTTTGGATGTATGGATGTATGTTTGTGACAAGTAAACGCATTAACCACTGGACGGATTTTGCTGAAATTTGGCATGATGATAGCTCACATTCCCGATTAACATATAGGCATATTCTTATCTCAAAAATCCTTTCGGGCTCCGCCCCAGTGGCTCTATAGTTCCCCATGTTAACCTTATGAGTATTCATATTATAAGGGAATTAAAGAATTTAGTCAGCTGTTTCAACTAAAAAGTTGGTTCTATGATATGCAAAAGCATTAAAAACTTACAAGGATTACCAACAGGGTGCAGCACTATTATTTTTTTTTTTAATTTATGACAACAGCTAATTTGCAACCAAAAGATGAGTGAGCGTAGCGAACGAACTTCAACCTGGAGGCGAGTTAGCGTAGCGAACGAGCTAACCTGAAGGCAAGTGAGCGTAGCGAACGAACTTCAACCAGGACGTGATTGAGCCATGCGAACGAGCTCACTTATGAAGTAAAACGGGGCAAAGCCCGCGGGTACGGCTAGTAGGCTAATAAACTAGAATACATACCTCCACATTTAGTGCTCTTGTTGAGCTAAAGGAGAACTTTGTTTGTTTGGGTAAGGAACAAGTTAGTTTTGAACAGGTAAGTATTGTTTGGAACAGGAAAAGTAATATTCAGGACAGGCAAAATCATACAGTTTAAAAGAATGTCAATTGAAGTTTTTTTAAAGGTCAACTGTGTGGAATTGAGCTGTTTTAATAGAAAGGTAAAAATAATTGGTTACTACACCACAAATTGAACATTTTCCAAGAGTAGAGCCAACGGGAGCTATCATAGCATATAGTTATGCAAATGACACAAGATCTGTAATCATTATATTTGAAATTGTAAAAAAACAGCTTGCCTAGTTATATATTTTGCAAAAGAATTGTAATAATCTGCCAATTGTGACTCATAATGCTGGCTGGCATCACAGGTGTGAGTATAGGCCCTACCTTCTTATTACTAAACCTAAATAATGAATGCCTACAACCTACTAGAAAAAATTATAAACATTTAAAACTGTACACACATACCAGGAGAATTACAACCTGTACAATTTACCATAGGACATTTTGAAAACTGACTTTATTTATGAGTTAAAATTTGTGACCCCATCTTGATTAAAGCTATGGTGTATTAAGTTTGTATTTTTGTCAAGTTGGTTACTTAAAATATCTCACCTGGAGAAGGTTTGATCAGCAAGCTGCTTGACTCGGAAAAATTGTTTCTTCATCTTGCTGCCTCCTCTAGACACTGGATCTTTGTATCATCATCTGAAACATTCATATCCCTTTAAAGTGTGGAATCACCCCTCAGATGTGAAAAGGTAATAAAAGAAAAATGGTCTAGATTTGAAATAAATATCCATAAAAACAATGAATTTGGTTAAGCTTTTACAATATCTTACTCATCTTTATAAACACAATTTGTAGAAGATTAGCCAACTAAAAAATTATAATCAAAGTGTTATTATATAATACACATAAAAGACAAATATAGGGTACTCTGTAGGACTAAGTAATTTGTACACAAATAAGTTTGATACAACAATAATATGGAAAAGCCAAGTACTTTACTCAAGCTACAAAAGAGCACTGCTAATATTAATTAGGAAAGGTCAACCCTTGGCATTTAAAGGTTAATTCAAAGGGGAAGTTGCTACCATATTTTCATAACAAAATACTTTGAAACTAGAGCTATGATCCTAAATTTACTTCTGTAGACTTACAACAGATAATATTCTAATCAAAAAACAATTATTTCATTTCATGAACACCAAAATAAAATTATTTGCATCGCAAAATGAGACTGTACAAAATGAACAAAACAGTTTTGAGTTACGGCTTTACATACTTACTAAAAGCTTAGTAACTGTTAATATTAATGTAAATCTATATAAATAAAATTAGAGTTTTGTCTGTACATTGCTCAGAATTATATATTTTTAGGTTATTTTTACGTCTTATACATTAAATAAGCAGAAACGAGTCTTATCTCAATTTCTGTCTGTCTGTCTGTCTTTCCCTCTGTCTGTAACACTCAAGATGGCATTTTACGCTATCTTCTCCTAAAAAACGAGAGTACCTATCAAGATACAAGTAATTATAATGTATTCACTTGGATTGGCGAGATTGTCTTTAGCCATTAAAATATGGCCTCACTACTTTGTAAATAATATTAAGAACGTTCAAAAATGTACTTTTGTGCGACTTATGTCAAGTTTTCGTCCAATTTTTATTGCATAATCATCTATGAAATAACGAACAGATGGAAAGGGATCTGCAGGCTTGTACAAAACTCCTAAACACAGCTACTACACGAAATTGAATGTGATTATTATTACTATTACCAATTGAGATGGGGATGCTACCTAGGTGCAAATTTTAACCCAAATATAAGTGAAGGATGAGGGTAGAATGAAGTGTAATGATCTTTGTAGCTTTTGTTACTGTTGTTGATTATACAAATTGCTTTCTGTCCAGAAAGACAAATGAGTCAACTGATGTGATTGATTTTTGTATCTTTGAAGGTTAGGGTCCTTTTGTAACTAGTCCAGACAACTATTTATTTGTTGCCTGTGGAAGAATGGACCTTATCTCTGATATCATTATCTAATCCAGGGTCATTGTCACCCTGCCCTAACTCTACATAAGTGGAATTTCCTTTCAGCCTCTACTGCCTGTCCTACGATTACATGGCTTAAGTTACTACATTCCGTACACATTTTTTAATATTGGTTAACACCACAAACCAAACCAATAAACCAGTAATGATGGGTAGTTAAATTGCACACATCATTAAACGTTAATTGCAACACAGTTAATTGATCCTGTCAATTAATTTACACAAAAACATTTTAGTTATTTAAAACTTAGTATATATGTCATCATTTTTTTAAACACTTGGGGGGGATATTGAGAGGAAAATAGTGGAGAGGAGAGGATTGTTTAGTTCCTCCGGACTATACACTGACCTCTTATAAAGGTGCTTCTATATTATAGACTTCAACTTGGGCATGTAGATCTTGTGCACATTAGGAGAGGTGAATGTGGTTTTGTATATTTAATTTTTTCAGTTAAGGATTTCATTATGAATAATGTATTGATTTTTAATAGTTTTTTTCAAGCTATAGGTACCTAAGTTTGCTTTTAATCTAGACCTTAGTACTTTGAGATAAAAATTGATAATCATCTATCATTTCCTATTAAAAACAAAAATTTATTTGGCCTACATTTTTTTAAATTTTACTGTTATCTAGCAGTAAGAAGGTTTCAAGGTCAAACATAACCTAGATGGTCCTGTGAATCTTGATGTAGTAAATTTTCATTAAATTTTTAGGCTACAGTAAATTAATATTCAGCATGGTGTAGGCCAGCTGCAGTTGTTAAATCAGTTTTGCTTGAGGCAGTGAACAAATTAGGGAATTTAGCATGTGGTGGATTGCTGTGTGGCTAAACAAGAGATTGTCAAACTGATATGAGATATCTTTAGAACTAGCAAGGGCAATGGTTAGTACCTGTTAGACTTATACATCTCAATCCACAAGGTTTCCTGAACTTTATAGGCTTAGGCCTACCTCTATCTCGATGGAAACTAAAGCCGGCTCCAGACATGCACCTTTCACCACGCACCGAGTAGCAAGTGTGGATAGGTGTTTGTCTATTTGGCAAGCAGCAAACATTCAAGGTCGTGTTGTCCCTTTCATTGTCGGTATTTTTGCACACATCAAAGTGAACGAATATTTGCTATTCCCGAAATGAACAGTTGCTCGGAAAACAACACGTGTGTAGACGTCTACTCGTTAATTGGCGAATAGCAAGACAACTGGATTGCCAAACGTCAAATACTTTATGCTTGGCGAATGGCGCATGTCTGAAGCCGCCTTTGAGGCCTGCTACCAGCCTCCTTTTTTTGTAGAGCTTCTTGATAACATGAAACATGTGCACATTTTTTTTAGTTAGCCACATATACCCATTCCTATACTACAGACTTCAATAGAAAGTTTGTAGCCCCCTTGCCTCAGAATGTGATTTATACTTGGCGTAAGCGTAGACTCACATCGTCATCACCAACTACAACACATCGTCATCACCAACTACAATAGGCCTAAGACTATCTGTTGGGCAGAAATGGGTGCCAACTTTAATTTTTCACCAGCTTATTTGGCTGCGAGCGAAGCCTACTGGAGACCTTCATTTACATACATTCCTTAGGCCCTAGGTAGGTGGATGTGTATGATGTTCTATCATCTTATTTTGCTGACTTTATTATTTTGCTGAGTGTCTTGAATATTTGGGTTATCTAATGAACGACCCTCCTGATGCTAAGTCTATAAAATTACATGTGCGCCCCCCTGCAATAAACAATATATCGGCTACACAAACAGAGCTTTCAGCAAAATATTCAAAGAACACAACACTCAACATCATGCTAACCCCAGCTCAATAGTAGCTAAACACTTGAAAGAAAATCAGGGCCACAAAATTACGTATCCTGAATCATTACCGACCCTCCACAGAACCAACTCCAAACCTACTGCAATAGTCAAAGAAAGTTACAAAATGTATAAGCAAATTAACACTAACCCTGACACCCTCCTAAACAAGAAAAAGGACTACCATAATTCCAAAATTTTGGTTAACCTTTTTTTTTTGAAGAGGTTGGCGGCCTCTTTTAACCTTGCATTTGCCCGTCCACATAGACTAAGCGCCCGTGCGTGGATCGTTTACAGCAAAGCAAGGAGTGAGCCGGTACAGTACAATAAAAACCCAACGATCTGGCAACACCGCACAAAAATGGCAACAGCGCAAAAGAGAAAGCGACCATCCCTTACAAACAATGCCTAACATCCCATGATCGATCATAACCCTGTCACTGTCTAACCACCCAGACCCAGTATAAGTTTATCACGTCAACAGTGCGAAACAAAGTGTAGGCTACCCCGCCGCTCATTTTGCCGTCGCCGGGCAACCCCGACCGTGAATATGACCGGATAGTGAATGGAAGATATAAGTTACCGGTAGTGTAAATATGTACGTAGTTACAGTAGTGTAAGAAGATACTCTATGAAGATGCCGCACTGAGCGTCGAAATGCGCATCAAGTATTAGATCAACCTACAAGACCTTCAGGCAAAATAGGTAAATAAATTATTGAAAAAGGACAAGAACAAAATTGTAAACATGTCCTCTACAGTGCTGTAATGGTCAAATTTTATTAGGGGGGTTAGTTATAATTATTTTAAGGCCGCGAAGGCTCGAGCGCGCTCGACAACAATGACAAACATGTCCACTGCAAGTCAAGTCTCCTAGTTCGTGACTTGGCCGCCGCGACCTCGGAGCGCTAACGTATCGGTAGTGGGGGATAGGCGCTGAGACCGGTGGACAGTGGACATTTCTTGAGACAGTCGATGGCGAGCGCTTGTTCGCCAAACACCCTCTCCTGAGATATATAGCGGACCTGCGGCGAGAATAAGTTGTGGATGCGATACGCAACGAGCGCGAAAATAAAGGCGATAATATTAAGCGAAATAAGTATTGACAGGCGTAAGTACTGCATTGTATCCTTACATTAGCCTATTAGTATTATTTCCCCGTTTTACTTTGGCGAGTAAAAGTTAATTTTCGTTACGATCGCCTTAGTTGTAAGAGATTATCGTATTGTATTTCTCAGGCCTGCACTGCGAGTGCAGTGCCACAGTAGCCTGTGACATTGTTTATTTTATTTTATCCAAAAGTATTTCATTTCGTTATTGCGTGTGACGACATTTTATTTCAATACGAGAATATTATTTTTAGTTTTTATTTGAGAAGCGCTACCTTTTGTTAGGCCTAGAAGCTGGTCACGTATTTTAGTTCACATAGAAGCATCGTATTTAGTGCCGATATATTCCTAGTCAGTGCATCGTTGTGCTGACATACAAACATAGTATACTCGTGCGTGTAGAACGACGAAGGTACCATCTATGAAGATCGAGAAGCGGTTAGCAAGCGACGGAGACTGTTAGCGAGAACCCTGGACTACTCGAGCTGTCCGAGCAAATCGGAGGTAAGTTTAGGATAGGTGCCCCTACCCGACATAAACACCTCACAGTGCACCGGATGGAACTAACAATAAAATTGTCTTCAGCTGATCCACGAGGATGAGAAATCTACTAGGCCTAAGCGAGTGTGTTTTTAACTTTTCTATGTTAGGCTAACATGTATTGGCCTGGACCATTAAAAGTTTGTACCGTAATTTTCTGCCACCTCATTTAAATTTGCATTATTAACTCATTGCTGGTCAGGGCTATAACTTAGTCCCTCGGCTAGCTCCTAGAGTGGATTAGTAAGGGGACCTAACATGATATCTTTAACCTAACAACTTCTATAAATTTGGTCCAACTTAGTGTTGTTATTTATAAAAAAAAAAAAAAACTTCTTAACATTATTTAGATAAAAATAACGTAGGCCTGGGCCTACTATCTGCATGTAGGCCTACTAAGTTAAGTTACTACAACTTTGATACATCAGGTTGTTAATAAGCTAGGTGTTCTTACGAACTACAATACATCGCCAGTAACTGCTCAAGAACCTAGGCCTGAAACAATTTTATATTTCATTACCCTAAGCCTAAGATATTAGTTGACAGGACTGGTAGGTCTAAACTTGTAACACAGCAAAAATATTCACACAGTAACTTATTGTTAGTGTCACTGTGTCAACAAAAGCCTAACTATAGGTTGGGTTATGCCTTTGATCATTGTTTTCAAGAAGAAATACAGTAACTTATGATTTTTAAGGCTAAGCCTAGGCCTAAGTCTGTGAGTACGGTATTCACAATCATGCACTGTTAACTTAGGCCTAGCCAAAATGGTTGAATCAGTCGGTTGATGGATCTAAAATTATTGCGTTATAAATTGTATTTCGCACACAAAATAGACAGATCAAGTTAATTTGAATAAAATTATAACATTCCCTCTAGGGTTAACAGGCCATTACATCATGACCATGAAGTAACTAAAAAACTGACATAATTTCACGCCATATCTACTTACCGTGGAAACCTAAACACACAAATACTGATTACTTGAACTTCCACACAAAAATAATCGTGCCTACTGCATTTTTAATAAAATAATAAACAAATCATCAAAACTTTGGACAAAAATTTACTTAATTTTGTCACGGTTACCAACCCACAGCCACCTATATTGTTTATGATGATGACTGATGACTGAGTCGTCCGTCGCAGTCAGCAACAGAGAAAACAAAATGCTGACTCAAACAAAACAGCTGATTAAACTCGGTGAGCATAGTGTGTCAAGCCAGTAAACATTAAAGCTGTTATATTTGAGTACTGTATATTATAAGAAGCAGTTGACTATCTGGAGGTTGAACTTCTCGAGGGGATTTCGTGCCGCTGATGGCTATTTTGTTATGTTTGTAAGTTAAGGGGGCTTTTACTTTATAGCAAAACCTGCTATTGTTATACCCATCTTTTGCTATACAAAAAAGTTACAGATGATTCTATAGTGATTCCGGTGCCCGTACTATAATATGCTATTAGCACAACCTCATTCACATGCCGTTTCCGTATCGTTAAAAAGGTCTCGACGAAGAGACCTATTTGTAGGTGAACTTTAGTGATGTTAAAATTTGTCTTTTTATTAATGTATTTTTAATGTATTAATTAGGGGGGTTAGTTATAATTATATGGAAAATTGCTGTTTTCCATTTAAAATGGTTAAAAGTTCACTACATACTAATAGTTCTGCTGGTCAATGGTACACTCACGAGCTTAGGCTATTGAAAGAAAAATGTCTAGATCTATTTCATCTAAGCAAAACAACTGGTTTGGAGGTTCATAAAAATTGAAAAAGTTTTTGATGCTAATTTAAGTAACAGTACCAGCCTAGACATCTTTGGTGTTTCTTCTCAGATACTTAAAATCAGTAGTGATGCTTATATCTGTCAAGTTTTGGCTCATATCTTTAATTAATGCATTTCCAGTAATATTTTTCCAGATAAGTTTATAAAGTTTCAAAGGTTGTTCCGGCAATGTTTAAGAAGGGGAAAACCTTAGTTAAAACCTTGGTTTGTTTATGGTACTGTCTAGGCGGATTCACTGAACAAAAACTCAAAATTTTTCACCTCAACATACAACGCGGCCTTCAGAATAAAATTGACCAATTGAAATTACATCTTGAAGAAATAAATCCACACATACTTATGATAACTGAACATGGCCACAACAAGGAAACTTTGGAACAGATCTACATGGCCTAGGATACAAACTACAAGCACACTTTTCAAGAGAATCCCACAAATGGGGAGGAGCCTCAATCTACACTCGAGAAAATCTAGATTCGAAAATACTTACCATCAATACAGCAGACTACACAGAAGAACTAGTATGCGAATTAGCGGCAATTGAACTCAAAATTGCCTCTAAAAAAATCATAACCATCTGCGCGTATCAACCAACATCAGGGAAACCACAAGAATTTCTAAACCATCTAGACAACTTTTTACACTCCATCTCAACAAAAAATAAACAAATCATACTACTAGGAGACCTAAACAACACACTTGAGAACTCTGAGGCGCTAAGAAATCTCAAAAGCATACTACACCAACACAACTTAAAACTGGAAGATCTACCCCCAACAAGAAAAGCATTAAACATAGAAACGAGTATTGACTGTTGTATAACAAACTATCTAGAACCTCAAACAAAAGTAATAGATAATATTATATCAGACCACCACGGAATAGAATGCATCATTAAAACGAAAATTAAAACCCAACGCCCGAAAAAAACAACCTCTAGAAATCTATCAACTGAAAATATGGACCTAATAAAACTTCAATTAAAAAAAGAAAGCTGGCATGAAATATACACTGAAACAAACATTGAAGAAAAACTAAACAAATTTATCGGAATACTACAGTACCATCTGGACGTTATAAGCCCACTACAAACTAAAACTACCGTCCAAAAAAATACACAGCCCTTCCTCATGACAAAAGAACTACAGGAACTAAAAGAAAACACACTAAAGGCTAAAAACAACTTTCTAGCCACTGGAGGCCTCAAAGATAAAAATGACTACACGATACTGAAGAAAAGATATGATCAACAAGTACGCGACGCAAAAAAAAACAAAATACAGAAACAAATAACAGAAGCAACCAATCCTACAAAGGAAATATGGAAGATTATAAATGAAGAAAGAGGAAAAAAGGTCCCTGAAGACACCAATATAACATTGAACATCAACGGGAAACAGGAAAATAAACCCCAAATCACAGCTGAAGCTTTCAACACCTATTTTTTATCAATAGGCCAGCAAGATGAAAGAACTCAGATACCCATACAACATCATCTACCAACTCAAGACAACAGCATCAAACTAACTAAATTTGAAACAATTTCTGAAAAAACCCTTTTACAAATAATAAAAACCACAAAACACAACAACACAGCAGGAGCGGATGGAATACCAGGCAAACTTCTACTGCACTGTAAGGACCAACTCCTGAAACCCCTTCTAAACATCATTAACACATCAATACTAACAGATACGTACCAACAAAACTGAAAACATCTCTAGTCTACCCTAAATTCAAAAAATCCAATAAACAGAACATCGAAAACTACCGACCAATTGCGATACTGCCAACCATATCAAAGTACCTTGAGAAGGCAATACATGGACAAATTATGGATTGCTTAACTTTACACAACAAACTCCACATACACCAACATGGATTTAGAAACAACAGATCAATAAATTCAGCCATAGCAGACCTACTAAACATAATCACTGAAAATTGGGAAAAAAAACAACAAGTCTCAGCTGTATTTCTAGATCTACGGAAGGCGTTTGATTGCCTAAACTGGGACACCCTTCTAAACAAACTTCAAGAAATAGGAATAACAAATAAAGCACAAAAATGGATGAAAAGCTACCTATCGGAAAGAAACCAAATCGTTGAAATCAAATCAAATCAACAAAATAACGACAGAAAATTTAGATCAAAACAAAAACACATGAAGAATGGGGTGCCACAAGGGTCAGTCCTTGGCCCTCTACTTTTCTTGATATATATCAATACAATACCAACAAAATTGCCAGCATACTCCGAATGCATTATGTTTGCAGACGACACCACCCTGATAATACCAGGACAAAACCGCAATGAAGTTGAAGAAAGAATAAAATCAACCATGAAAACAATAGAAGAAGAACTTAATACCATCAGCTTAAAAGTTAACCACTCAAAAACATTTCAAATCAATTTCACAGCTAAAACCACTCAACCCCAAGAACCGCAGGAAGGAAACAATATTGCAACAGTTAACCATACTAAATTTTTATGACTCCAACTAGACAACACACTAACTTTCAATAAGCACTTAGAATTCTTGATCAACAAACTATCCTCAGCCTTCTATGCAATTAAACGAATAAAAACCATAGCAGGGAAAAATCCAGCACTAATAGCATACCACTCACTCATGGCATCCCACATCAAATTCGGCCTAATAGCCTGGGGAAGTGCACCCCAAACATACATTGAACCAATCTTAATACTACAAAAAAAAGCTTTAAGAATAATAAATGATCTTCCATACAACACACCCTGCCGACAGCACTTCAGAGAAGACAAAATATTAACAGTTCTATCCATGTACATCTGTGACACCATTCTATACTCCATACAAGAGAACAATAAGACAAGAGCAGAAATTCATCAACACAATACAAGGAAGAAAGAAGATATAGACCTCCCTTACAAAAGACTAAAGAAGGCACAGGACCAACCCTTGTATATTGGCACAAAATTCTATAACCACCTTCCCCAAAACATCAAATCCCTAAAACCTAACAAAACCAAACTCAAGCAAACCCTAACAAATCATCTCACACAAAATCCATGCTACACCAAACAAGAATTTTACACCATCAACAGAAACAGATAGGCTCACACATACACCAAACCAAGAACCCAGGTCAAACTTTGACCAACAATAAACTTCCTGGGGCCTTGCCCAAAGAAGATGACATACCCCCTGTCTTAAGGAGAGTGGCGGTGAAGAAGAAGGGAGGAAGGGAGGGAAGGGAGGGAGGGGAACAGAGCATTCCTGGGAATTACAGACCAATGGTTCCCACAGTGTCAAAGGTCCTTGAGAGATTACTTTCGTGGCAAAACATCCATTTTAGCGAATTTCCCATATAGGGAATAAGCTATTACCGTAGTACTCATGACTGGTAAGACCTGGACGCGGGACCAATTTTTTTTTCGTTTCGAGGTCCCTAGAGACCAAAAACACCATCCGTTCAAATTCATATATATATATATATATATATATTTATATTTATATATGTGTGTGTCCGTTAGCACGATAACTCGAGCAAAAATGATCCGATTTTGATGAAATTCGGTACAAACGTGTAAACCACGAACGAGAGTTCATTTTTTTTTACTGCTTTTTGATTTTATTTTCTCCAAATGTGAAATGAAATGAAATGAAATGAAAAATGTCTTTATTTAAGAGGCGAAGTTAGGACTGGCAAGTCCTCTCTACCACTTAACCTCTAAAAACATAAATAAACTATCCACTTTATAAGTAAAATTAAATAATCTAAGGTACCATATTATAAAAAAGTTGAAATTAAATTAAATTAAATTAAATTAAATTTAATTTAATTTAATTTAAACCCAAAAGTCCATTCACACAAGCCGCCAACAACCCGCCACACCAGCGCCAGAGACTCATTCATGCCTGCTACTCAAAATCATAGATTTTATCTCCGCCCCAAACCTTGCACGGTTCTCTATGGATTTTATATGATCAGGAAGAAAATTCCACATTCGAATTGCAGATACTAAGAAAGATTTATTAAAAACTGTTGACCGGTGAATTGGTGTAGATAAAAGAAGAGAGCCTCTACGAGTGGAACGGGTACTGATGTCAGAGATGAAATGGAAGTTATCTGATAAATACTTAGGAATTTTACTGTTGATAATGGAGTGTAGAAGACGGAGGGTGTGAAATTCCCGAAGTTCATTTAGCCTCATTAATGAAAGCAGGTTGAAATAGGGAGTGACATGGTCATATCGTCTAAGGCCAAATATGAATCTGATACAGGAATTCTGCGCTCGCTGAAGTCTGCTAGAAACCTCATTAGTCATGTCATTGA